GTGGTTTTTGCCATCTGGGGTTCTAATTTAGTAGATATCATCTCAGAAGTCAGTGCGCTCCAATGTATCATCAGCTAGGACTATCACGATCAAGAACTTGAAGTCAGTGAAAGTAAGAGGTGTGTCTCATTCCCCTGAGATGCCGTATCTTTTCATTGTTTTTCCAACAATCTATTCATCAACTCATCTTCTCGTCTGGACGAAACTTACACAACATTTCCGGGTCTCATTTAATCTGAAGCCCTCGTCATTCAAGCCTGCAGGCCAGCTTCACTTCCCGGTTTTAGCATCGTTTCCTCCTAAGTTTGACGTCCTAATCATATGATCAGAATTAATTATCAATTGACTGTGGTTGCGCGAACATACCTGTAGCCGAGTCCGCTTGTGGAGAATGCTTGGATTCGAGCCTTAACAAACATTGGGTTGAGATAAGATCTGCTACCTGTATTCAGGTCTGTTCATACATGTACTTAAGCCGGCAGGACTCAGGAAGCCTCGCATGATCCAGTAGAGTTCTTAGCAAGTAAAACCGGGCTTCGGGACGTGAACATTGTCCACAAAGGTTCCCTCCTCGCGTAATGCTCTTTTGAGCCACAGGGGCTGTAAATTCTAAGCTTAGGCCATTACGACATAAGTCAATGTATATTATGCCTCAGGCCTGATATCTTCGGACACGACTTGAGAGGTGGATCTTGTGAGGCCGGCAAAAGCAATTTTGCCGTAATAACCATTGCATAGAGTGCTAGAAGGCTGTTCCGACTGATACAATATTGGCCCTAGTAGAGTGTAATAGAAGTAGAGAAAGTCCTTGACGTCTTCAAGGGGTAAAAGCTGCCGCATGCTTTCTGAAAGGCTTGTTGCAAATGAAAGCCTCTGGCTGACGCCTGGCAGTGGGATCATAACTCGTCCGCCATCTACTCGATTCTCGGCTTGATGGGAAATTACGTGAACCTTGTACACAGAAGCGAATTAATTCAGTTACAAGTCAATAATAATGGCTCTTCAGAATTACGTTCTCATATTAATGCAAATCTCATTTCGAGTCCGTACTAATATGCTAGAACAGTTTGAAGCCACTTTGAACAGCATTCGCAATTCCATCAGGGTTCCTACCTTTTGTAGACATATTGGAGAATTGAGCGAAGACACCATGGTAGTGCTTAAGAATGAAGCCAAGGTCTCTACCGTTTTGGTAAGTATGATGTGAATAAAATGAGCGTCTGATGATCGAAGACGGTTTAACTCATGTGGGATAATAGTTCCTGTGTGGCGTCCTCGACCCTTGATGACCGGCAATTCCGACTTTGCGCACTCTGCTTTGCCTTTCCGCCTCATAATATCCTGTATTCCACCTCAAACTTAAGGAGATGTATCTAGGTGGGTTTTGACAGAGCTCTGAAAGTTGATTTCGCACAATGCGCCGCCATCTTCTGGAGTCTTGTCGGTTCACTTCTACCAAGTTGCGTCGGCCCTTCAAATTGACTTCTAAATCCTGGTTCAATTCGTATATTCCAAAATTACGACGGCATGGAGGCGCAGCAAGTACCCATGGGTTCCTATGGGGTTACTATGACGTTTTACGAACGTGTGCAGACAAAGCCTCGTTTTCCGCGGACCTTTGGCCAGATTCATGCCACTGCGGTCATGGTCAGCATATAATAACAAGTCGCGGTTTTGGAAACTGCGCTATTTGTGAGCCTAATTTTCGCTCTCTTCGGCCGTATCATCTGGCAAGCCTGCCGCCTTGGGTAGATTGTATGCCTCCGCTGGCTGTAATGGCTGAGAAAAGGGTAGATGACAGCACTCGCAGCTTCATATTGTGGAATACGCTTTTTGAGTTCCGCAAATTTGACGTGGCTATATCATTACGACTTTGCAGTGCGGCCTCGCGGGTGGAAAGCCACCGAGATTTGTCGGAATCGTTTTCGGGGCATTGCTCGCCTCGCTCGTTGCGTGACCTAGCAGTGCTTGCTAAATGGTCTGCTAGATCACAGAATCGACCATTTGGCTCATATTATGAAGGTCTATAGGACTTGACGCGCAGCTTAATTTTGCTGCTTACGGGGATGACACGGAATGTGAGGTAGATGTCAAGTTCCACTTGAGCTCTTGGAGAACCCACTAATACATGTGTGTGTGCTCTTTTGGTATGCTTCACGATCTCTGGCTTTATAAAGACTACTTAAGTGCATAAAGATGGGCATATATAAGGTCATGTGAGTAAAGATTGCCCATCTTCTCTCCATGACGTTGAAGACCTTAGAACTTGATAAGAAAGGGGTCGACGGGCACTGAAATCACGTTCGACATCATACGAATACCCTCCAATTATCACCAAACGAACCGGAGTCCAAAAAACTTACACCTAGCAGCAAGAAAACTGCCTAGTTGATACGCGTACGTCAGACTAACGGGAAGAATAACGCTTTGCGAGCTTGTCAGCGAGAGGCAGAAAAGAAACATGTTGGCAGTTGTGTGCTGGCCGTACGGAACCCGCTCATCGTATGTCTCATGCCCTTGGCCTTTGACATTGCTAGTCAAAATTGGAACCTTCATGATTAAGAGAGGATACATTCCTTTATGAACATAATCATCGTCCTCATGTAACATGACCGAGACGGCTGTCGCTGGAAACATCGATGATAAGAGGCGCGCTTGGGGCGAGACCCGCGTCGATAATGAGGTTGTTGAAGAGGAAGTGGGCAAGACGATTCGTACGAAACTGGCTCTCATTGTCGGGTTGGAAGTCCAATTCGACCTCGAAGCAAGGGGCCCGCGCAGGGACCACTTACAACCCCAACTTCCGGGATTCGTGGGCTGCTCAACCTGCGGTTGGAACCTCCCTTTTACACCTTTACGCAGAAGTTAATACATATCAATGTTACCTCTTCGTCAACCCACGGTTCGAACCAACTATCCTGTGATAGGGATACCAACACTCACATCCACAGGCGTCAACTGGTAGTCAATAGCCGTGATACCGGCGTTTTTACCGAGCACCTCGAATCGTGCTCGGGTCCTTTCTCCTACAAAGAGGCGGTCTCTGCAGCAGTCATGGAGGCGACCAGCGAACCAAGATCCATGTCGAGAAACTTATTTCTGATCTCTGACCTCTGACATGAATGCAGGTTACATTGATCATCTTCAAAGTTGGTTTCTCACTCCCTGACCTGCGCGCAGCCCGAAAGAGGACACAAGGTGAGGCTTTGGTAATGACTTGGACGGAATTGGCTCCGAGACGTCTAGGTAAGACCCCAGTAGTGGAGATAACCTTGCTCTTGATCTAAGAAACCAGGTCGTTGACAAGGCTGTCTACAGTAGCCGGTTTGTCGTACATTGAAGGTATTTTGGTCTAATTCTCCTTCTGATATGAGATTGACGAGAGCGAGTGGTTGACGGCTCGTTCGCTGAATCAGTAAGACTAGGATGTTTGACGTTAAGAAGAGTGGCCTCAAGACGGGATCCATTGATTCATCTAGCATAGAAGCCGTTGCCAATACCCATCAATGCGTTTATGATGACCCCTAATGCGGCCAGTATTCGTTACCTTACGGAAAAGAAGTGACGCGAGTATTGGCGTCTTTGCCCGGCCGGCCGTCGCCTCCAACCCTTAAGGAAACCTCAAGATATTCATTCAGTCTACTATGGATCGGATTCAGTGCAGATTGTGTTGCTCATAGTTGGCCGAAATCTTGCAAAGTAATGATCTTTTTGAAACTTCAGTTACTCCCCAAGGTTAGGATGTAAGATTGATGATACTCAGTCCACGGTTGGGACTAAGACCCGAAATGCCGATGATGAGCAGGCAACTGTGACTATTTTAAAGAGCGTTGTCGACACCTGCGGCCCTGCAGTGGAGCTCTGGAAACGGGGGTGGCTGGGTTTAAGAGGAGTGGACCGTATTCGTAGTGTGCGTCTTAACACGGCAATTTTCACCCGAGACTCGATGATACGCTAAATCAGCTTAGTCAAGCCATTCTCCCATCTACAGTGCTGCCAGCTTTTACATCAATGGTAATCTCGGGTTCGAGTTCCTCAGATTGCCAAACAAAAAGGCCCAGGTGACCGACCCGCGTGTGTGCAAATCGCTTGATTGGAGTTTAGACAAAGTCAGGCTGGGGAGATACCAGGAAAACAAAACGGAACGCCAAAATGCACGTGGCAGGAGAAACACCAAACTTTCAAAGGTGGTACTTCAGGAGGGATACTGTAATTATGGACTGCACCAAGGTCTAGTTTGGCGGGTTTGTTGAGGACCGAAGGCCAATGCTATTGCTGGGCTGCAGCTGTCCCTTGAAGATATTATCCAAGCCAGATACATTGCGCAGCCTCTCGGGTCTTAGAATAGACCGAAGCTTCTACCAAACGTCTTCCAGATTAGCGCAGATGCCATCATCTGGCCTTAATAAAGAGGTTCTTAACGGTCGTCCACTACACCATTTAGGAAAGGCAAGGACATTAACGTCTCTTATTTTTTTCTTCCAATAACATCCTAATTATTGCAAGAGCAGTCAAAATCTCATCAATGGATAACATGAGCGTAGCGTCGCTACGATTGGTGCTATGCATCTTGGTATGTCTTGGAACGCAGGCTCTGGGACATTCATTTCGACCCGAGACTGGCGGCCTTCTTTTGAATCTGGCTGTGAGTTGGTCCGAAACCCTCATTAGTTCGGAGCTGACATTGTCTCGAAGGATACTCTGCCTACATTTGACATCTTGGGATCCCAGATAGAGGTCGACGTCCCAACTGGTGGCTCCTTCTGGGCATCTGTTTTCGCGCATGCGTCTGATAGTCACGGTTATCTCGTTATTTCCCACTCAGTCATGGGGTTACCGAATGAAACGAGCATGGTTCGAGGATCAATCATTGACATCACCGATACGTCTCGCCATGCCCATTTCACCGTCGTGTCGCCCGTTCCTAGCGTCTGGCAAGACAACGGGAGTTATAATGCCAGCTATCCAGACTTTGAGTTTGCCTCCCCAATCAAAGCTTTATGCGAACTCTTAGTAGAAAAGATGGAGCGGAGTTCGACATCACGTTCGAGTTGTCCGCGCCCGACCTTCTTTACGGTGGTCTTGGTATCTTCCAGGCCGGCAATTATTCGACACATGACTGGGTCATGCCTGCGGGAAGAACGAACGGATGGATATCTCTCAGTAGATTCAACCTTACCATTGGCTCGGAGAAGTCTCTGACCTGGTATGACAGGCAATGGGGACAAGTACCTCAATCGTGGACCTGGTTCCGGTTACATGTTCCCAACGAGGAATCAGGATGCCCAGATAATCTCTATTCGATCTTAGTGTGGGACGATACCCCGGACGGTACGGGCGCATTCGCAACCGTAAAACTCGGTGCTTCGACACAGACCATTCCTGTTCAGACCATGGTCCCCGGACACAGAAACTGGACTTCACCCTATACCGGGTATACGTACTCCATGGATTGGTATGTGAAGTTGGCCGATGGTAAGGATCTTGACATATCCACCATTATTAGAGACGACCAAGAGCTGCACAGTGATGGCGGTGGCGCTTTTGCAACTTACTAGGGATTCGTCACAGCAAGCACCGAGTCGTCCGAGTTTCTAGCGCAATCTTTGATGTATCAAATGCACGGAAGATATCATATAATAATGTCAGGGCAACTGTAGCCTACCACAATATAAAGAGCATAATGAGACGGCCATGGTGGTTTCTGAAATTCTGACGTGATGGAGCGGTGTTTCTTTTCTATTTCCAGCACATGGACGTAAGTTGGTTTTCGCGTAGGCCCATACAAATAAAAAATGACTGGCTAGACTCTGTCAGCACCTTTCCTCGCTACTCGGATTGTGATATAGCGCGACTGGCCAACAATGAATTGGAATCAGCGCTCCTGCCACCGACCGACCAAAGCCGTAAGAAAAACACCAGCAACAGACCAGATGTTTCGCTGGTCACAATCGCATCTTGATTGCAGTCATGTACTTGATATGTAGGCGCGCGCCGCTTGGCGCGATGGATAGAGAACGGCTCGACTTCAGTACCCGTGACGAAGAAGGAGAAGGAGAAAAAGAAGACGGGGGAGAAGGAGGAAGAAGAGGAGAAAGAGATCGCCCCCAGTACCGAGGCAAAGAAAGTCGTTCCACCTGCACCCAGCCACGACGATATCCCGACCTTTGCCGCGTACGAGATACCCGACAAGACTTCCGAAACGGAAGCCGGGCTCCAGCTGCTCCGTTTTACTTCCCGGCCCAGGCCGCGCGCCCTGCTCGCAGTGCTCGGCTCCCGCGTGCCTTGCTTGAGTGCACTGCGCATTCCAGCCGCTTGAACAAGTCACACCGCGGTTCAGATCAGATCGAGGTCGTTACATATCCCCTGCCGGGGATAACCTCGGACGAAGAACGTGCAAAGGAGTACATCGTCACTACCGACAGGAGGTTCGAAATTGTCCGTCTGGTCATGGCCGACAAAGCCAAGGCAGTCTTGTGGTTCCTTGCTGAGTGCTTCACGGATGATCATTACTCGCAGATGATCCTGGCCACCAACAAGTTCAAGGTGGATGACTGCGCTGACGATGTTGAGGTGGCATCTGGGGAACCGTCGTCTGCTGACCCGAGCAAGGTTGCCGCGTCCATGATAAAGGTCTATGAGAGACGCCGTGGCAGCTCCCTCTCAATCAGGTGGCTCCCCCAAGAGGAGCTATGCTCTACTCCAACGTGTATATCGCCGTGGTTAAGAAAGAGCCCTCTGTAGGTCTGACTACGCCCCGAATGCGTACGTTTCTCTCTAAACCGAAGCCCAAGACGCGTATACGTTCGCTGGGCGACTTACTACATGTATCATGCTGCTATTTCAACTACTCGTATGGTGGCCTGGCTCTTGCCCTTGCCCTTGTCCTTGACATCGAGTTGGCTATTATAGGTAATTATGGCTCGGCCATGGTGGCGGCACCGCGGACCTTGACTAGCCGGCGAAATGCACGAGCGTAATTCCCACACTGACGCGCATATCTCACCTCGGTGGAATACAGGGCGTGCTCCTTGACTTAGGTTAGAGTCTGTCAGCTGGGCGTATTTAGGGAGCGTATCTTCAAACCTCAAGTATAGCGTTTGCCACGGAGTCATTGTACATGAGAAAAACGAATTTCTTACAAACAAGACTGAGATTCCAAAGACCGTTAGGACTGAGGAACAGGTGTCCTCTCCTCGCTTTAATCGTTCTCTGCTTCCAGAAAATCATTACGCGATTTCCCAATTACTCGCCACGAATGGCTTCGGATGCATTCCTCGGTGCTTTGACATTCTTGACAAATGCGACTCTGCGCCGATTTCAATATGTCCAGCTGACTCTCGTTACCCCCTCAATCCCAATCAGCAGTCCCGCTCCAAGTGAGAACTGGTCATAGCCATGTCTGAGTCGCCCACTACTACTATCTTATCATGCTGCATCAGTTCTTCAACTGTTCTTGATGATGACTACTCCACCTCGTTTATTCGAGCTTTTTCACCCGTAGAAGCAATTTCCGTAGCCCAGTGGCGGCAGCAAGGCATTGGAGAAGGTCGACAGGCAGAATCCAGGAAAACTCCAGGTCGATAGATGTGAGCCTCGCAAAGTTGTTCGCACCCATCTCGCGTCTAGGATCGAAGCTGGCCGCGAGATCTTCGACGCTCTCACCTTCCTGGAATAGGTTCATTCCCATCTTTCTGCAGGCCAGGCTCGAAACCTCCAGCTCTGGTCCAGAAAGAAGGGAAGGGAAGACGTCCCGAAATCCGACAACAGGCCATGAGGAATCTCCCACTGTCGCATCCTCGAGGAGAACTTCGCAGTCACGTTGATCCTCTTCAGATGGATTTTTTATATCGGCCCCGAAGGCTAGCAATCGAGTAATGCTGATTGGCTCTGTGACCAACGTGGCGAGTTTTGGCATCGACCTTAATTGATGGCAGTAGACTGTTACTGCATCTACAAGGGCCCTAGTTTGTCGGTCAGGATGGATCGATGCGAAGTATGGCTCGTTAGGCTGGCAGAAATTGTTGGCGATCCTATGGCACAGAGCGAATCGGTAGAATGTTGGGACTAGGTTTGTTCTGTCGTATCGAATCTCATGTTCGTATGTGATGAAATCAGGAACCTCAAGAAAGACAACTTCTCTAACAACAGAAGCTATGTGAGGGGTAGACGTGATCTTTTGGAAGGCTTCGAGGTCCCTATGCAAGTTGGAAATGTAGATACGACGAAATGTTAGCGGAGTCGAGATGGCGCAAAGGGCGCGATTGACTAGTCGAAGGCATTTCAGGTCGTCGATGGAAAGACCTGGCCTGGAACAAATGTCAAGAATAAGTTCGCCAGGCAGGATTGACATAGCCATAATGGATAAGAACGCGAGTTGGCACGTCCACTGCCAAGTGGTTTACAGGATTCCGCAACTGGGAAAACGTTTTCTTTTAAGCGAAGCGAATGCTGCGAATCAGACCACCTCCATCACCCAAGAAAGCAAGGCATGGCGGTAACCCTTTGCAAATCTCAAGGCAAACAGTTCAACGACAGCACCTATTCCTCTGAGAGGATATGCAAGAAAATCCTACATTGCATGCCCCGATGTAACCACAAACGTTTTTGGATCTCACCCCCCCTACCTGCTCCCCTTGTCCGGTCCTGGTCCCACCAGATGTCATAGCCAGCTTTATTGCATGATATGCAAATAAGTCATGATATTCGATAATTATCTTATGCTATTTGGAAACTAGTTTTAAAAATAGTAATACAATAAATGTTGAGGGGCGATACATTAGTATAAAAAAAAAGCTACCTATATTCGGGTGATGGTGCCGGTGCGAGCACTTGACCGATGTTTGGATCAGTGTCGATGTTCATTCCATGCTTTGCTGGATGTTTTGTGTCTGGAAATGGATTGGTATCTCTGCACATTCGGTGCCTTTACACAGGATAAGAACTGCGCCACTGATACTGAGCTTCGTGAGCAAACAGATGCCTTACCAGCAGTTTTGCGGAAGACCTTCTTGTCGACATGAAACTCATGGTCAGATGTCGGTACGCCATGAGCGCTAACAACCGGCGTGATAATATGGACCATAAGGGCTACCCTTACACCGGAATCTCGGGTACATTTGCCTTTGTTTCAGCATGCAAGGGATACAGGCGGACAGTTGTGTCTGCGTGCACTCTCACCGCTAAGTGAGCATGTAGTGCGCTTCGCCAGTGGCTCACTTGCTTGTCTTCCCAATTTTGCTTTGCAAGAATAGGACAGGGAAGCCCCTGGCTGGGTTCATATGGAGTCGGGACAGTCACCCGGGCTGGACACGGGAGGGGTACAGTGAACAGCAGTCAGGGCTTCGTCTACATTCACTCCCTTCTCGTCCAGAAAGTCTCTTAGGTCAACCGGGACTGCTCAGCCGATCTTTGATGCATTTGAATTGCCATAGGAATGTAAAGTTACATATCATACCTTGATTGAGCTGCGTCAAGCGCCTCCACAGCACTTCAAGAAACCTCATCCTCTCACCCTTGTCAGGGGTTGCCAAAATGAAGCAGTCATGATCTAGGCTACGACTGGGTCGTCGAGACAAACCCTGCAGGATAGGATCAACACAGAGGCCTGCAAGGCTCATGATGTACATGGCAAAGATAGCAAAGTACCATTCGTCGTAGATCATTCCAATGGCCATATTCCAACTTACTGCAGTCTGCAATCACAAATCGTTTTATCACACGGGACATACACATGATCCCAGTCAGGCGCTTCTCTGCCCATGTCAATTGTCAACGCCTGCCCGCTTTGGTCTCTGATTGAGGATCAGTGTCTTCTGGATTGTGGCTCGCTGGAAGCACAGGTAAGGGCACGGGCGGCAAAATGTGATTTCCTATCTCTAGCACCTTGTCTGGCCTGTTGCTGTCAAGTCGGCGGTGCATGCAGTTAATCGTCTTGTTGGCCTAGATGGCAGCCTTGCATTTTGTGCTTGGCGAACCGTTGTGTACTGGACCATATAAGAGCATTCAGAAAGACATGATGCTCCCATGATCTGAAATAGCTTTCTCGCAAGAGCATCGCCAATACACCGCATGTCAGGCTTCAACTCATCAAATCAATCATGGCCTCAGAATTTAGCTGAATCGGCATTATGTCAGTTGTCTGCGCGAGTGCGGCCATAATTCTCTCTGTATCGTCACCTAATATCGCCAACCCGCGCCGTACAGATTACCTCGAGCAGTTCTTTGGGCTACTCGGGCTCTGTTGGCTCTCAGCTGGATTGTTTCCCTGCTGCAGCTCGAGCCGCTATTTCGATCATGTCTCCTGGACTACTCAGTTTACCACATGACACTCTTCGCCATTGCGACCTGTCGTATAGTCACAATAGGGGCATCGATGTTAAATGTAGAGAACGGTTGTCTATTGAAAGTAGGAAATGCGCACGAGGCCCGCTCTGAAATAGAAAATGCAAGCGAGTGTGGACCTCGGTGATTATGTAACCGAGGTCACGTGACGTACGGTGAGGCCACGGGTGGTTGAAGCCATCACGACATATTGTTACTGGGAGTAAACACCAACAACAGCGAGAACGAAGTTTTCGAAATCGGAGCAAAAACAGCGCCATAACACACTCCGAAAGGTCAATTCGATAGCCGTGTGCTCGTCGTGAAGCCCATAGCGACGCAGGCACCATGGCAACCCCATGGCCCCAGGAGCAAACATGGCCAATGGACCATCGAGAGCACGCCACTCAACTTAGCAGACGCCTTCAGACAGCACTCAAATCAATCGACACCACAAACGAACACCCGCTTAACCCGCAAGCCGTGAGAGCCACTCTCATTGCCACCATCTCCCTGCTGGCCAAAATGCAGAACCTGCCCGAACTCGGACACCTCCACCAAGCCATTGATAGCTTACGTGCGGAAACCAAGACAGCCAATGAGAACAACATCCGCGAATCGAGAACTATTAGGATTGCCATGCAGCAGAACACGGCCGAACTCAAGGAAAACATCAACACGACGCGCGCAGCCAACGCGGCCGCCAAGGAGGCTTGGAAAGCCAGCGAGCTGGCAGTCAAGGTCGTAAAGGATATCAAAGCACTGGAGCCGATGAATCAGGGGAACACCGTGCAGTCATATGCTAGCGTAGCCGCCCGAGGAGGACTTGCGGGGAGCATGCATAATCCCTATAACCAGAGAGCGTCCCAGACCCAGACTCTGCGTGAGATCATTGTGAACATTCGAGACCCCATCACCATTGCCAGCATAAGAGCCATGAACCCCCGTAGCCTCAAGGCGCACGTAGACCGCGCCATCGAACAAAGCAGCAACGAGCATATCCGCAAGCTCAAGACCGTGTCTGCCAATCAACTCAAGAGCGGCGACCTGAGCGTCAAGACAGCCACGACGAAAGACATGGAGGCCCTCCGGCAGTTTGCCGAGGACTGGGAAAACCACATCGGCAACGGAGCCGCCGTGAGGATGCCAGCCTACGGGGTGCTGACGCACGGCATCAGAACCAGCTCTATGAAGATGGACTGCTTCACAGAAATCAGAGACGACCTGCTGCAGGACAATAAAGCATTCATCCCCAGAGCAGACATAAGTACGTATAGGCTGGCTGACCCAGTCAGCCAGGAAAAAGACGGCATCATCAGTGGTTGTGGAGCTCTCAAGGGCAGAAGACGCCAATAAACTCATTGACGAGGGACTCATCTGGCAAGGCCAGGTGTTCCAATGCGAACGATATGATAGACAGTGCCGTCTGAGGCAGTGTTTTAAGTGCTGCGCATACGGCCGCATAGGAACCCAGTGCAAAGCAACGACAACATGCGGCTACGGTGCGCAAGAACACGCGACCCGACATTGCCCCTCGAAAAGCGACACAACGACCCCAAGGAAATGCGCCGCATGCTACGGCGAACACGAGGCGTGGCACGGCGGATGCCCCACCAGGATCCGCGAGAAGGCCAAGATCAAGGCCGCCTACGGCCAACGGTCGAGGTACCACCCGGCCGACGCTGGAACCAGGCCAATCCCAGGAGAATCGTCAGAGCCGGAGCAGGTCCCCGACGAAGAAGATCCAAAAGAGGCCTAACCCGACAGCAACCCAGGAAACGGAAGAGACGATTACTGTAGCTGCAGAGAATACGTGCCCGAGACGCACAATCATCCGATCGCGAAGAGCCCTCGAGGCGCTCGACCCCAATACGCAGATGACAGACACGCAGACGATAACCAACAACACAGCGATGGAGATCGATGTCGACAATAGCGAATGAACGCACAACAGACACTCACAATACTACAGTACAACATAAGAAAATCGAAGGATACCGTCATGGCGACACTTCTCCGTGACCCGAACATCGATAAGTACGACATCATGGCTATTCAGGAACCATGGAGGAACCCCTAAAGTGCAACGACGCACCATCCGGCCAAGGACCGGTTCCACCTGTGCTATCCTTCCAGCGAGGAAAATGGCCCAGCCAGGGTCTGCTTCTTCATCATCAAGAAGCTTGACCACTCTCGTTGGCAGTTTAGGGAGGTCAGCAGAGACCTCTGCACTCTGATGATCGCAACAGATGACGATGCCGAAACAAGCCTAGTGCTACATAATGTGTACAACCCGTCACCGCGGGAGGAAGATCGAAAATCGGTCCTACAACAGCTACGAACAACACTGGAAACACATCGGCACGTCGAGCAAATCGTCGTCGGTGACTTCAACCTACACCATGAGCTAGGAAGACCAAGAACGAAGGCAGCGCTCGACGGATACGTAGAGAAAACCATAGACGCCCTGTCAACCGCTATCAAAGTCGCGGTCCCGACCAGTACCCTTTCTCCAGAATCCAGGAGAGGCTGGGACGAGCAGTGCGCAGCCATCCTGGCCGAGACGAAACGACTTCGCCGCGACTATAGCGAGCGGCAGACAGAGAAGAGCTGGGAGGCGTACAGAGAGGCACGCAACAGAAAAGGGCGCATCATAAAGAAAGCTCTCCAACAAGCACATCGCGAAGCGGTAGAAACAGCAGCCGACTCACCCAGATCGCTCTGGAAGATCGCCAAATGGGCCAGGAACAGGCAGAGCCAGCCGCCAACCGTCACGCCGGAAATCAAGAAACCCAACACGTCCCAGGTCGCCGCAACGCCTGGAGAGAAAGCAGCACTCTTCAAAGAGACCTTCTTCCCCTCGCCGCCAGAGGCAAACCTCGAAGACATCGACAACGAATCGTACAGCAACCAGATAGGCCTGCCGCCAGTATCGGAAAGCGAAGTGGAAGACGCCTTCCAGGAAGCAGCACCGCTGAAGGCCCCGGGCCCCGGGCCCCGACGGCATCCCTAACCTGGCACTCCAAGTGGCGAGACTATGGATCACGCCACATCTCGTCCGCGTATTCAAGCAGAGTCTCCGGTTAGGATATTGCCCACAACACTTTAGAAAGTCCACCACGGTGGTACCCAGGAAACCAGGCAAAGACAACTACACAGTGCCCAAAGCACACAGGCCGATGGCCCTCCTGAATACGGTGGGCAAGATCATGGATGCCATTATAGCGAGGAGACTGAGTTACATAGCCGAAACACACGGATTGCTGCCAGATGGCCACATGGGCGGGAGAAAACATCGCTCGACGGAGCACGCACTACATCAAATCGTAGATAAGATACACGAAGCCTGGGGTTCAGGAAAGGGAATGGTAGCAAGCCTACTTCTCCTGGATGTGTTAGGCGCCTTCGATAACGTTTCGCACCGTCGGCTCCTGCATAACCTAAGGAAGAGGCGGATCGACGAAGCGACGATGCGTTGGATTGCCAGTTCCCTGGGATGCCGAGAGACAGAGATCCACGTGGACGGGTTCCGATCCGAAACCTACAGACTCGACACTGGCATCCCCCAAGGGTCGCCTCTTTCGCCGATACTCTACCTCTTCTACAATGCGGATCTTTTGGACAGCTGCAATGAGGCCGGAGACACGACAGCCACCGGCTTCATCGACGACATAGCAATCCTAGCCGCGGGACACAGCACTGAGGAAACCTTCCAGAAGCTCCAAGAAGCGCTCGGAAAAGCCGAGACATGGGCCTCCACTCACGCCTCCGTCTTCGCGCCCGAAAAGTTCCAGCTTACCCACTTCACACGAGCAAAAACCAGAATCGACACAGACAAAACAACCCACAGCCAGTGGGGAGAAGTCAAGCCCAAGACAACCTGTAAATATCTCGGTCTCACCATGGACTCAGCCCTCAAGTGGAAATAACACATCGACGAGACAGAACGCAAGGTCACGAACACTATCACAGCACTCAGCAGTCTAGGCAGCTCCACGTGGGGCGTGATGACGAGAGAGATGAGGACGATTTACAAGAGAGTCGCAATACCACAGATGATGTACGCATGCTCGCTGTGGTCCAACAGCGGTTGGGGAGAGATGGGCTATACGAAGCGGACATTGAACAGACTGCAGAGGCTCCAAGCCAGAGCGGCCAGGGCAATGTCCGGAGCATACAGAGCAACCTCGTTCCCAGCACTAGATGTGGAAATGCATCTTCTGCCAGTCGAACAACAGATTTGGAAACACAATATCGACACCATCAACAGAGCAGGCATGGCCGAAGCCCTCCCGCGGGGAGGGAAGAGAATGAGTCCGAGACAGAAAGTAACGAAACGACTGAACGATGGACAAGGGGCAATCAGCGAACAACACGAGCAAATACCACCCTTCATCACTCCCCCGTGGTGGCAGGGACCACGTATCCACATCGCCGGAGGCACGAAGCAGGCCGAAAAAGAACACGAACGTTGTCTGGAAAAGAACACCGACGCAGCCCACATCTATACAGATCGGAGCGACAGCAGTCTGCACAACGACACAGCAAACCAGCAAATCTCACATGGGAAACGACACAACATCCACAGTCTACGCGGGAGAGCTGCAGGGCATCGTTCTAGCCCTCGAGATGGCGCAGGCAGATAAGGGAAATGGAAACCACCGAAGCAGAGTCTTCATACACACCGACAACCAGGCCGCCATCAGATCATCTGCCAAACCAAAGGGGAAATCCGGCGCGTACCTTCTCAAGATCATCGCAGAAAAGACGCAAGCCCTCCGAGAACAGGGACTCGAAGTTGAGCTCCGATGGGTACCTGCCCACATCGGCATCCAGGGCAACGAAGCAGCAGACGCCGCCGCCAAAGAGGCCACGGGATGGAGGCAGAACGGACAAACAGGCGCCAGGGCTGGCAAACCGAGAGACCTGTTCAAGCTCAAGTCGACAGTCAAGACATGGTCACAGAAACAGTCCCACCACGCGTGGCGAACCAGTTGGGAGACCGAGACGCGAGGGAGAACATCGTTCCGTCTCATGCCGAAGCCGACAAAGAAGATCCTCGAACTTCACGAAGGCCTCAGTAAACGCCAGGACTTCCTCTTCAGCCGAATAGTACCAGGCATAACCAGCGCTAATTGTCCATGCCGGGAAGGACGAAAAACGGTATCGCACATCCTGCTGCGATGCCGCAGGTTTCGACAACTCCGGCGCCAGGAATTCGGAACCCTCCCAAGAAGACACAATCTCCGGGTCATACTGAACAAGCGCAAAGCAGCCGCCAAGGCAATCCGATTCATAGAACAGACCGAGATCCTTGGGCAACACGGGATCGAGTCGTAAACCAGACTAAGCTGAACATTGGGGGGAGACTATAGGTACGCTGAACCGTTGTACGAGGAGAAAGACCTCAATAGAGCCTAGACATGCATGTACAATAGGGATCAGAATGATTCAAAATGACCCAAGGGACAAAGGACTTATTCAGGATCAGGACTTGTAAATAAGATGGACTCGAGCCGGGCTCAAGGACAGACTTCTATAGCTCTTCAGTAGTTAACTTCGTATCAGGATTCATATCCGCTTTCAGCTATCACCATTGACAAGACTACGATTGATCACCGAAGCCTTACCCACCTTTACGATTGACAGGCATAACTTCCAGGAAGTTATCCAGACTTACGACACTGTTACTGTGTATCGCAGCCTCAACTTCTGCAAACATACCCCTACGACTAGCTGGCCGTAACAATAGTAATATAAAATGAAAATAGTAAAAGCCTTTGAGGACTAATTACAAATAGTATTAGAGATATATATAATTGTCCTTTTAGACGGTTTTAAGGTGATTGGAATTGGACTTCCAATGCGACAGTAATATCACCGACGTTTTAATTATAACGAAGCTAATACAATATGCTCCTACGGAGAGATGAAGGATATAGACCATTTAGTATACTATCGAAAGACGCTGGCGAGGAAGTATCGGTGGGTAACCATCCGCCCTTTTACATGAAAACCGAATGTGGTGACAAAAGACTAAATATCAACAGCAATTTCACATCACCTATCTCTTAGGGCTACCTCCGGGCATACGTTCAAGGGCCGGGACAGCGGGTCATAAAGCCGTCAGGAGAGCTACGTCGCTAACGCGCGCACAGTCTTCATTCTGCTCTGGCGTGTTTGATTCCTTGGCGACAGGGCAGTTCGCAAAGGGAAATTTAAGGTGCCGTGCTTGCCACGTTCCGCTCCAAGCTGAAAGAAGACAGGGGATACGGCGGGGCCGCCGAAGTATGCAGGCCTCTTTGGTCCGGCGAGCGCAACCCGATGCCCCGGTTGTAGCCTAGGCCATGACTGGTTCATATTTGCAGCCCCTGACAAGGGTGAGGGTATGAGGTTTCTTGATTATGCTGTAGGGGCATTAGACGGCAGCTAAATCAAGATATGAGGTGACACGCCCCGGCACCCCCTTTTGCTCACAGCTCGATGCGAAGTTCGACACCATCTATGCATTCTTTGCGCACGCAAAAGAAAGGTAACCAATCCAATCTCCAATATGGGGAGCGAATAGAGAACTCCAGCCGGTGCAGGTGCTGGACGTGAAGGTCGGTACCTTCGGCTGGCATTGGTCTCAGCGCTGGGGGTGTCGCGCCACCTTCTTATCGACGAAAGCCGCTGAACTCCAGATAGCAAGCTTTTCAGTCTCGATGTAACTAGGCTGAGCACCAAATATCATAAGGTTCGGTGCTCAGGAAGTGTGTGAGGAAGTTACGGCCAACTCTTGGCGTTCTTCTCTATTTCAATTTCTTCCTAAATACGATTTCACCGCTCGTCTTAAGCATCAGCTCTTCGACAAGTCAAGTTTGTCAGCTTCCAAACCACGTATGATCTCTAATCAGCGGCGAGAGTCTCATATTAACGTACTTAGGAGCTAATGGAAAATCTAGGGGAGAAGACGCTTCCAAACATGGTCTCAATACCTGATCTCCTCTTCCACGTCCAAGACCACGCCGAAGAGCGCCTGTTCGAATGCGAACATTGTGGCAAACACTTCAAGCGAAAAGCCGGTCTCACTTCCCATATACGAACCCATACTGGAGAGCGTCCCTTTGGCTGCGAAATTTGTCCGAAACGCTTCAAGCAAAAATCCGGTCTCACTTCCCATATACGAATCCATACTGAAGAGGGTCTATCTAGACGCAGAGACTGTTACCAAAGTTCCGAGGTACTAGAGTGTTACGACCCAACGTGCATGACCAACCCAGAGGCCAGCTGCCGGGCCACGGCGGCTACGGCACAACATATATGCATGCGAAACAGGGACGCGGTTACTCCTCACGGGACGGAAGAACTATGGAACAAGTCACGTGCTGATAAGATAAGGATCATGTTGGATCATTTTGATCCAACACGACTTGGGGTCCAAACGATCATTCTGGATCAGAATGATCCAGAACGACCCAAGGAACAAAGGATATGTTCAGGGACGAGACTTGTATATAGGATGGACTCGAGCCGGGCTCAAGGACAGACTTTCCATAGCTTCTTCAGCTATTAACTTCGTATCAGATCTCACGATCACTTTCAGCTATCTTCACTGAGAACCCTTTGACAAGATTACCATTGATCACTGAAGCTTCACCCTACGGCTTACAAGACATAACTTCCCCAAAGCTATCCAACAACCTTACTTACTGTTATTCAGTCCTCGCGGCCTGAACTTTTGCGAACTTACCTCACTACGACTAGCTGGCCGTAACATAGAGACAATTCATCCCCATTCCCAGCAACAGACACAAACTAATTGAAAATGACTCAAAAAAGTCCAGCTCGACCCTGGGTGATGTAACTTTGCAGAAAACATTCAAGAACTTTATTCTTATGGAAACCACGAGATTTTTTTCTGAAAATACGGTTGATCAACAAAGCTGCTCAATAAATCAGGAACAGTATCAAAGCAGTAGTTTAAGAATGGCCTCATACAACTTGGGATACGAGATATCGACAGAGAGTATGAACGTAGGCACCAACGTGTGTATGGAAGATGGTCCCAGTGCCCGTACCGGATCTCACGTTACCGGGAATTACTGCCTTCCACTCCCACATGTGGCTGAAGGACGATGCCACTATGATTTGCATCTCTTGCGTAAACTTGAACTTTTGTTGTCGTAGCTGCTCTAGAGATTCCACTGTATATACCTAAACCGATTCTTGAACTCAAGAAAAGCCGACACGTTTCTGTCTGACGGCGCCTCGTGATCAACCAAGGACCCAACCCTTTGAGGGTTTCCCCTAATCCACTAGCGCGCGTTCTTGGCAGAAGCAGCAAGAATCGCGAGCGACCGCGAGATAGTAACCAGGTCGTAGAAGAAGCACACCATATATCAAGGTCTGCAGGGGGTCGCCGTTGGTGAGCCAGACGGGTTGAAGCACTTTCATTGTGGGAACCTCTTCAGCCAGCTGATTAGCTGCTGAGAGCCGGCGCATCAGGGGGAAGAAATACCGAGACGATTGGCTTGAGGGGTTCTTTTTGGTATGGTTTGATACCAATAGTTGAGGGGTCTGTGGATGTTCTGACCGAATTGCGAACGGTTCAAGCCAGCAACGCAGGACAGTCTTCCAAGGCACGTGTATGTTGGTCATATTTATTACTTGCCGTTAATCTTGTTTCTCAAGCTCTCCCGCCATCTTTCCGTGACATGGAGTGCAACAACTGAGATGCTGAGCTGGATTGGCTTATGCGAATCGACGCTATTTCGGCGGCGTCCTCCTTTGCGTTGTTTAGGTTCTTCCCGTCGTACCAGAACCGAGCCGAGAGCGTGCGCCCGTGGACGGCCACCCGGCTGGACCAAGCCGTGCGTCCCCCTGCAGGAGAGTTGGGAGCGCTCGAACAGCCAGCAGCGTACGCTTACCTCGCCGATCAGAGACAATTTGGAACACAGGTGGCATAATGTTGGCCTCCCGGCAGGCATCTGTTCGCTGTTCAGACAGGGCGGCGCGGGACGGAGGAATCTCTCGTACCTTCAAGGCGCTCTTGCCGGGTCCTCCTGCCGTAGGAGGAGGCAGACATGGCATCGACACTGCACATTACATCCTGAAGGTTGCACACTCGACTACTAATAACAATGGCGGGCCCGACAAAAAGACAACGCAGGAGAGACGTTGGGGACCTACGGGGTGGTGGCCAGTGCTCTCGGCGCGCGATCCACACACCGGTGAGAATGACGACCCAGAACCTCGCGCAAGATGGCCCCGCGCCGGTGGTATGGAAGCCGGGTCAGCGCCGCGGTCGGAACCTGGTCCCTGGGTCTGGGTGGATGAGGGGTGTCGCGCGAGGACGATTGGGGCGCGTGCTACTTGCACTTCACTGTCCGTTGTTCACGGACGGCGCCAGGGTCAGGGCGTGAGGTCGCAGGAGTGGCGGCCGCTGGCAACCACTGCATCTCCCCGCCGGGCAATGTATACTACACTGACACCCACTCCCCTGTGCGGTGGAACGCCACGAGATGAACGGACGTGGAAGCCGGGTGCAGCACCCCAGTCCAAGGGCTGCACCCTGACACGGCCGCATTGGCTTGTCTGCCACGTTCGATAAGGTTAGCGTGTAATCGCGTGGCATCCAGTCGTCTGATGAAGCCTGTTTCGACTACGGCGGAGATGTCACTGGAGGGCGAGTCAACCACGGCACCGACGACGGGTCATTGCGATGCGCAGCGACGACGTCGATGTGCTATCGTCCTGGTTGTTTGAAGGAGAGAGTGGAACCTTTCTGCATGGGGTGGCGCTTTTTCGTTACGTGATTCTGCCTACACAATCGTAGCCCTACTTAAGAAGAGGCGATCAAGGCTCCTACAGTTGAAATTGGTTCAGAACTGTGACCCAACGCCCAGCGAGACCGTTCAGACGCTCGGGCGAGGAGCTGACTTCTCAACCCGCCTAGCAGCTGGCCCTGTGTCGACGAGACTGCGGTAGTCTGGATGTGGACGTGGTAGGCATGCATGTGTCAATTGACCGCTGTGCTTGGGTACCGCCACCGGTCAAACGAGATGCAACTGGCGGATCGTCCTGTGTTTCTATGTGCTTGGTTTCTAGACAAGGGCAAGGGTCGGTGTTGGCAGCAAACACCGACGGGGTGTGGCCGTTCGCATGCCCGCCGTGTTCGGTCGCTAAGATTTGGTGGGGCAACAAAGCTTTTGCTTGCTCGGTCCGGCTGGATGAGGTACCCATGTTTGTGGCTGGCAGGCAACGGGACCAGGGAGGCGTGTGCCTGAATCTCTGCTCTTTGATTCATCGTAAGATAGAGATCCCGTAGGTGTGCTCTCTCCATCCTTGTCGGCGCGTGTTGTAGGGGAATGGTGGGCCACACCGGACGCCGCCTCGCCGACAGAGTCTCGTACCTCTGAGTCATGTAGAAGCCATTTCTTGGCCGTGTACTAGGGTTCTCATGAGGAGATTTAGGCAGTCTGGCTAGGCGTGGCCTCGTCTACATTCGGCAGTCAGATCCGTGATGGGTGAGTGACTGGGGGGTGTTCGAAGAATCATGTCTAGCCATCAATGGTGAGCATGTCTTGGCCGTTGGAAGGTCGATACTCTCTGACGTCTGCAGGCGCCTACCCTGCACGATGGGGCAAGGTTGGATCTAAGCAGCCACTCCGACCGCCGCACGCGCGCGAAGAAGGCAACGATAGTGAGATTGCATTGGGCCTCCTGGTGTTCTACCGATATGCACAGCGCAGAATGAACACCGTGTGCGCACAGCCACGCAGCTCTCTCTACTAGCGGTTTGATAGTCAGTTGCCTCAGCGCCTGACAGCTCGCGTGAGAAGGAGCCTAGTATGAATTGCAGTCACAAAATCCAGTCTTCACCTGGCCTGCCCAATGCAGTGCTCTCCTTTCTCACTCGCTACATCACAGTTAAAACCACGGGACAATTGAGCAATGTGTGCCGACTTCACGACACTTTTCCGGGGTACCGAGGAGCCAGGTGTGTTAGCGTGGTGCAATGGGAACTCGACAGAGAACTGACGTCAGTAGATCTGTGCCTGCTACCTGTGAGTAGGGTGAAGGAAGAGAAGGATGAGGGCCCAGTGAATGTCCCAAACAGGCTCGATGCGAAGATTGGCGCAGCGAAAGCATTGCAACAAATGAGTGCCGGCCATGGATACCGAGACCTCAGTCTGTCCTGTCGCCGCGGAAGACTTGTCTCTCTTGATGAATACGCCTGTGACAAGCTACGGCGATGAATTTCTGCACAAGCCGCGAGATCAAGTACGGAACACACGGATCCAAACACTCGGAAAAAAGGTCTAGACGGGAGTAAAACAATGGAGACAGTTGACGACATGAACATTCCGCAAAATGGCTTGTGGCTCGGCCTTGAGCGCGGTGTCTTCGAACCAGAATCGGTACGTTAAGTCTCCAGCTCGACTATCGCTGACAATACTAACAAAATGCAGGGAGAGCCTAGTCGCACAAGCAGAACACTCCCGATTGCTACTTGAACACGTCCTCAAGATTCAACAGCAACTCGCTACTTAGCAAGAGTCTGTGGTCCACGAGAAAGAGCGTAGTATCTACTACGAAAAGCGAAGCATTTTCCTAGACAAGCGGGTCATTCGCTTGGAAAGCACTATACAGTCACTTCGAAGTGAAATATCGGCCTTACAAGGACAAATCGCAAGAATCGGCCACGCTAGAGGAGCGCCATTGTCTTATGAAGGGGTAAGGTCTCCTGATTGTTGTAGTGATTCATCAATCTAGGATCGTCTCCGCGGGGCTATACTGAGAAGAAGGGTAATAATTTCGGGGTTTGACTAGGTAGTAAACAAGCTTTGATATAACGCTAGCCGTAGTATTTCATGAAGGAAGTCGGCTACCAGAGGGGGACTAGGTTTTGAGCTACGGCTGGTCTTCATAGACTTAGTAGCGGCGAGCTTGCGAGTTCAATGTTGGGCGAGTGATGTGATAGGCTGACAATCTAACGCGTAGCTTTGGACGAGTTCTTCTTATTCATCCAACTCTCACTGTCTAGGCCTGTCCATGCCACTTACTCATTTTTCAGGGAGACCCCGTGGCTGCGATGATACTTCCATGACTGTGAGTAAGCGACATCCCAGACTGGCTCCGGGCGGCGAGATTGGTGGATTCGGACGACTTCATGAATCTGAAATGTCGCTGTTCATATTCCACCTGCGGCGGCTAGGATCAAGTCCACTGTAGCGCTGATGGCGGCGAGATGATCTTATCCTGATGTTTCTCGAGTACGTTCTGGACACTCCGTATTTGCCATCATTCAGTCGTAGACTTGGCAGCTCAACAAACTTCATATTTACGGCCGGCTTCATGAACCCGAAATCTGACGTCAAAAACATCGTTTTACTATGGCTATCAATCTTACAGAACCAGGGAATTTGTGTGCTCTTGCTCTCATTCAAGAAACTACCGGTAGCTGCAAGATAAGACCCACTGTCCATTTCGAAATTTGGAAATAATTCGGCTGCCGATACCGAAGAAATTGACTCCCAAGTATGCTTCCGGTTGCAGATGTGTAGAAGGGTTCAGCATGTGACATCGAGGAGTCTCTGGGCGGCACTACCTTGATATTGACGAAAGGAAAGTCTCTCCACGACACAAAAACGCTTCGTCTAGCCGCAAGGCATCCTGCTGATGACCACCAATTGTGGACTTCACTCGCTGCTCTAGACTCTCACATGCCTGGTACTGGAGACGCATTCTCCATCGCCCCAGCGGGAAATTGCATGTAAAGCTAGGGCAGGCCACCCAATACAGGCACAACCCTGGAAATATGTTCATTTTTGATCGAGCTCAACGATGTGCACCATTTAGAAGCGTTTAATCACGCACTCGTCCTATCAAAGATGGACGGCACGGATACTGTCTGGTGCCACCAGGCCGACAGCTGATTGAAGCGGTTGTGACGCCCTGAAAATTTCAGGGGAGCTGCTTGTCATGAATATGCAGGACAGGTCAACCGTTGCAGCGGCGCGTCTGAGTAGTTTCCGGGGTCTTTGCTTCCTTGGATGATTGCCAAGATAGGGTGGGGGAAATGGGAAACGACAGCCATGATGACCACATCCGGAAAGGCTGAGAGCTTCCCAGCCAGCTCTCTAAAAGAGCCAGGCCGTCTTCATCCAGTTGGCCGCTCATTTAAAGGGTCGAAGTCAACCGCCCTCTGATAATTAGTTCTAGCGAGGAGCAACGTAGAGCTAATTCCAACCAAAACGCAACGACCCTTGAATATCAACCGCCTTCAGAGAAGAAACGAACCGCCACCATGGAGAGCCGACATGCAGCCCGACTTATGGCGCGGCTACGACCTTTGCGCACCGAAGAAGATGTATGTGTGGTTGGGAACAACGGGGACCTGGAGCTGAATATGACCAACGAGGGCCTAGCCCGCCTTCTGACTGGTAGCGATTGGTATTTGGCGTCGGTCATGTTGCCGTCTCGCAAGCACAATCTCTCATTTGAAACCGGAACCTCTCATGAAGAATTTGATGCAGCTCACCTGGTTCATATAAACGGCCGGATTGCAGTGATCGATGCAATAGATCGAAAAGAAGTAGAGTTCAAACTGAACACGGAAACTATCAACAGCTTGGTGGATTACGATACTCAACAAAAAGCCGACACAAGCGACCATAATTGTCGATCAGCGTTTGTCAAGACATTGCGCGCAAGATTCGGAGAGTTTGTGTATCGGACCAATCTTGCAGTCTTAGAGGGAATGGAGAGTGATGGTTCAGGGGAGCTGAACGCGGAACAGAGCATCAAAGTGAGGAACAGCATCAGGCGTCTCTTGGGGTTACCAATCATCCCAACTCCTGAGCCAAGCCTTCTACAGTGCAGAAAGGCTACCCTGATCACCCATGGCGCGCATGTACCCATTCGGTTGGAGGGACTCGCGATGATAGTACCCGGTTCGACGGTCATATCATTTCAACCATCTCTCGCAACGCCTCTCATTGCCTCTTGGGAAACGTGGTAGCATACGATACAATAGGTCATTCGTCTGGCGTCAAAGTGCACCGTGGCGGACTGGCTGTTACCAAATCAGCTCCACTAGGAGGTGTTAGGCTGGAATCTTGGTGATTTCCAAGAGAAGAGAGGTTGTGGCCGAGTGATTATCCGTTTACTTCGGGTTTATTGAGGCCTTGAAGTAGAGCTTGTTAACCATGAGGCTTACAAGAGAGGGGTCGATATGAAAGACTAGTTACCAGGACAGATGGCTGCTTATTGACTACCCATGGTCAACGGATAGTCAAGTGGAAGTGCAACAGTACTGAAGAAAGAAGGATTGATAGGCGAGGTGACAGATCTTCAGTATGGTCAGCAGTGGCATAATGAATGGGGATAAGTATGGTTGTATTGCTTAGAGTGATCTCCTAGGCTTGCAGTAGATCTATATAAACGAGTGGCATCTATCCCTTGTAGGACAATCCTGGCCCGACTATGTGGCTAACTGAGTAATGACTATATGCGGCGAGTTTCACCTAAGCGAGGGTATCCCAGGTTCTGTCACGAGGTGAGTAGGCTGTAGTCTGTGGATCGTTGCAAGACACTACAGACATGTGGTTGCTTGGTTCTGCATCACAGATATCTTCGAATCGGCTACACACGGACGAGAGATACGGGAGACCCCAGCAGATCTTTTGCGAGACTATTGTATCGTCGACAAGCTCACGCAGCTTTAAACCCTGACAGCTCTGAGTTGGCACGCTCACCTAGAATCGCTGCGGTATACCGAAGCTCACGTCACTGCGGATCTGAATGAGGCCGCCAATGTCTTCCAATTTAACGGCTTTCCACCATAGGCCAATTTCTTGTTCAATCGTACATGGTTTCGACGAGTCGACGAAGACCAAGCAACGGATACAGAGATTGTCGCTTGCAATGTACAAGCTGTAGATGGATGTCGAGAGGCTTGGATCAAACAAAAGGAAATCTTGGTTGCCACCGGGCGTGTTCCTCAGATGGCCGATGTACTGAACACCTTCGAATTCAACGTTCCTAGCATAGACCTTCTCCGAAATCTGGATAGATGCGTTGCCCTCGGTCTTGGCACATGTTTGTTTGGCGAAGTAGACGGCCAAGCGGTGACAAGTTGATCGATCATCAAGAGCCCAGGCCGCGATGTTAGAAAAGACTTCTCTGGGCAAACCTTAGATGCGGCGATCAGCTGTTTGAAGGAGATCGGCTAGATAGGACTGGAACCAGCGAATACGCCGTATATCCGCAATTGCTGGAGGCTCGAATGCATGTGCTGCAACATCGAGAATATTCGTGAATATTTCCGGAGACGTAACTTCGACGCAGATAACATGGTACCCAATCCGTTGCTCATCATGGTTGCATTGTCCACGACACTTGACATTACCGACATCCAGAGTGCTATTGATGAAACCACCGATACTATACTTGTACGATGGAGAAATGTCCCTATCGGATCGCCGCACTAAGGGGGTCAGAGGACTAGGACTGAAAAGGGTTGTGGAAGACTTGCCTGCCACTATGTCATCTCCATACTGAAGTTCAAAGCGGCAAAGTCCGCAGAGCCGTGGTATACAAACAGATCTCGTAATCGTCTTGAACAGCGCATGATGAACGTTTCTTGCAGGTAGGAGAAATTGCAAAGAGAATCTCGGTTCATTACGGAGCCAGCCGGTGATTTGACTGTAAGAGTCTCGGATCTACGTTTCGCCATGTCGGTTCTATCGATCTGCGAATGTGAGGAACCTGGAAACCAATGAAACTCATCTGAAAGCGCTGCAGCTGGAACTATGATGAGTCATCCTATCGTAAGCCGACGTATTTTACCAGAACAGCGCCCAGAATAACTGAGGATAGCCGATAACCATGTGCTCTTCCAGTTGCCTATTTTCTCCTCTACTCCTTTCCCGTTTTCCTGTTCTCCTTTTCACCTGCTTTCTTTCCTGCTTTCCTGCTCTATTTCTATACTTTGATCCTTCCCGCCCGTCTCCGGCGTTTGTGGTACAAGCAGACATGGAAAAGTACATCGCATCCTCGCTAAAAGTTGTCACATACTTTCACACCCACAATTCGCCCAGCTCACGTCTGGTGGATTGTGTCGCGGTGGTGTCCAGTTTACACAAGGACCCAGCGATGATGCCCGCCTTGCGTTATGCATTTCGAATACCGCGGCGATGAAGTCTGTGGTGCATGCAAACCATCCGCCCCAATTGTATGGGAGAACATGATTAGACGGTAAGACCTGTTTCTCGACGCAGGTATGATTTGGCTAAGCAGAACAGCAACAATAATCCAGTACCCTGATGAGTCTGAGAATGATTTCTCTGGCGTCTGAAACTTTTACGGCGGCGATGTGAATGAGCTGATAGACTCGGAGACCGGTTTATTCCGGAATGTTCGGCGTGTAATCGGGTGCGAACCCACTAAGTTCGAAGCCACCGGGACTCAAATTATCCGCAAACTATGTGTAATTGCGCTCATGAGGCAGTTGAAGTCAATGATTCGTCCCCTTGAAACTTTGTAAACTGTAAAGAACTTTGTGAACGACCTCTGCAGGGCCCTTGCACCACAAGCTATTGACTGGCACCGTGATCGACAGTCGGCACTTCGCGCCTGAGATTGTGTGATAAGCTGTCATTGCTGTGGAGGATGGTCGTGCCTTTCCTTGTAGCAAGCCCAGCTGCATGTTCGAGCTCGTGGGAGATCGACGAATGCCAAGGCGAGTCAACATTGACTGCCACATTCGACCCATCAGGCATCACAATGCTGTTTTCAGAAGGTCATGAACTTGCGGTGCTTCGATCATTCCTCTTTTGAGGACTTCCCCGCCTACAAACTGCGGAATCATCCAGTCAACTTGATGAGTCCACGACTCTACGTTCTTTGAAATAAGACCTTTTCTGACAGCGATGGATGACAATACTGCTGGCCTATTAAGCTGGCTTGGGTTGCTATTGTATGATGGAGTCCTAGTTGAGCCTATGTTTCGCCACAAAAGGTACTATCGACGACCTTCAAACAATGGCACTGGCGTATCGAAGCAGGTTGGCATCCAACAGCGGCCGGGTTTCCTGGACGACCGTATCAATGGCCCGATGCTGCAGGCAGCTGCGCATCGTCAGAGAACCCTGTTCGAACTTCTCTGCGACCCATCTTTGCATCACTGTGTAATAGATCACAAGGCGACTCTCATGACAAGTCCTATCAGTGATAGGCAACAACGGGCGCCTTTCTGCATGCTTCCATGCCTTGCCATGAAGCTTCCCTGTGCAGCAACTGCCCAGAACGGTGGAATGGAACAAAACACAAATTCGGTTGCTTGCGGCCCTCAGCCTATTTATCCTCTGGGATGGGCGCTTGTTCATTAAGACTTTGACAATCTTTTGCGCCTTACCGGAACTCTGTATCAACTTCAGCATGACTTTCTCGAGAGCTGCAACCTGGTGAACGAATCGGGTCGTCAGAGTGAGGTCCAGACCGGGGCAGAATTCCGCAAAGCAGCCGCTGCGGATCACACTCCACGAGAGAAGCCTCGCGAATAAGCCAGAGAGCGACCGCAGGTATCTCTCCTGCCACACTTCCGCATCGGAATCTCTGTCGGAGCTAATCAACGTCAGCGAATGCCTCAGAGCAACTACAGGGGCCGTCCTACACCGCAGTATTCCTGTCCGATTTCTCGTTCTGTGCCGTTCTTACTGCGTCGAAAAAGACCAGATACCAAGCCCCAGCCGCGAGGACACAGGAGAGGGTTGACAACATCGTTTTCGGGATGACCAAAAGCAATGTGACGCCGACCGACGGAAGTTTGACGGCAAACACTCTAACGACGGTGATGACAGAATCGGCTTTGGCGATTAGTCTCCTCGATTTGACTTCGTCTTCCCTGGACAGGACATCGAAGACAAATTTGTCGAAGACTGACTTGAGGTAACAAATGAGCGATTCTTGACAGTCGTCGATCCACTGTAGTAGTATCGGCTGGAAGACGACCGAGCTGGTTTGATCCCCGGTGAGCTTCTGGGCCCACTGAGCTATGAAGTACGGTAGCCCGTTCAGACTGATGAGAAGTAGGAAGGCGAGTATGTGAACAAGAGCAATACAGGCTGACTGCCGCGTGCTGCCTTCCGGCTGGATCATCCTGTTATTGATGCCGTGTTCGATCTTTGGCGGTCGAGTGGCTGACGAAAGATGGATCGCGCGGATGTAAATATTTTCTGCTAGGGAGGGGTGGAGGGGATGTGCTGAAAATCGCCCGGGCTGGGCCTCTCATCTTTGGTTGGACATGCATGGTGAGCGGAAGAGTTGAACTTCTTTCCTTGTGGGAGGGGCTTGGCTGCATGTCGCTGCCGCGGGCGGCGTTGCTGGCAACGCGGAGAAGGTTCTGAGACAAGCAATAGAGTGATATGGCGGCCCTGCAGAGGAGGCCCGGTGCAGCCGGGCAATCTACTCCTGGGCCCGCCACGGGGTTCGGCGAGTTGGACCCGAGATCCCCCTGTCGGGAAGTATGCATGATAGCCACCACAAAACGGGGATTTGTTCAGCATTTGGATCAAAAAGATCGGGCTCTTCCTGAAAGCGAGTAGCATAATCGACGGAATACAAACGCTGGACTTGGGAATGCAAAGGCGCAATCAAATTACCCGGCTTCGCTGCTTCATCTTCACCGTGTATGGGTACGAAAACGGGCGGCTTTCGGGATCAGCTGCATTCCCAGGTGAGATGAGAGCTTTTCCTGCGCGAAATCTTGATTGTCCTTACATGGCTTTGCTCCATCAACCCTGTCAATCAGAGGGAAGAAAGGCATGGCGGTGATGTGCACTAGCTCAGACACGGCCGAGGAAGGAGGTTTCCCCGGCGAGTCCCCGCCAACACAAAGGTTTCGAGACGTAGACAATTCGGGTAGGAGGTCAAAAGAAAGTGTAAGGGAGGGATTATGTACGCTAGTTGTCCACTGCGAATAGAGCATGTGAGTGGGCACGGTCCACCACCCCGGATCCCGACAGAGGCAGTTTATGCGCTCACATCTCCGTCCTTGTCGCTAGGGGGTGTGCGCAGCAGTCCATTACTGGGTACGTATTTGCTAGCACAGAGCACGATCTCAAGCCCATGTGGAAGCAGGGGTGTTCCCGGCGCCGTCCCGAGACCGCTGTCCACCCCACCCCCAGGGGCGATTGTCCCGTAGCAAGGTGTGAGTGTGTTTGTAGTATACAGGCATGTATGTACCCCAAGGTCTTTGGAGGGGGGTGCGGCGGGGTTGGCCTGAAATCCCACCACGGAGCGATGTGACGGCACGCAGTAGTGTACAACTGGAGGGCGTTCACCCTAGACGCCATCCAGACGACAATGTCAGGCGAGCTCACTCAAAAATCCCTGTTCGCCTGACATGTCCTCCGTCGCCCAGAAAACAATGTCAGGCGAGCTCACTCAAAAAGCCCTGTTCGCCTAACATGTCCTCCATCCACGGCTATTATCCCCTCTTCAGCCAACAACATCCACAGAGCCTACAAACAAAGCCTTGCGCGACCGACGCTACTTCCGCCGCAGCCTCGCAACAGCTGCCTCTAAACAAACGCCCACGCCATGGGAAACGTGGAAAGTTGTCAATTTGCAGACGCGCTCTCGCAAGTATGTCAAAGAAAAAGCGGGGATATTTCCGTTGACCGACTCCTGGCCCCGGAGGTACGACCATGCTCCCCCGCGCCAGAACTCGCTCATTCTCGACAGTTTCTTGAAGCTTTAGAGGAATTCCTCAAGCATATCAAATCGAATTGGGACAAGTTTCCCTCTTCCGTGGCCGATATCGTCAAGGACAAGTTGTTACCCCGCTTCGATCCAAAAGAAGATCCAAAAGGAGATCCTGAGGCATGGGTGCATCAACAGATCGTTCGCGAGCCTGCTGACGATTTTCCGAACCACCTCTACGACCATCTCGTATCGCTCCGAAAATCCAAAATTACATTTGAGGTTGCCAAAAGAAACGTGTTGCTCATCGCCTTTAGCAACCTCCAAATACAGCGCGACTCTGGTCCTGACCGGGGCGCGCTGTCAAAGTACCTCATCACAGTCAAGGAAAAGAACTCCGAACAGGAAATCCGGAAGATCAGAAACAACTGCAACGATTTCACAACGGCAGGTCGCCGGTTGCAATCCTGGCTGGGTAATCTGGGGGGCTCTGGAGCACTCATTTGCGGCCTATACATAGCCATGTCGACGTAAGCCCACCCTCCAAGCCCAAAGCCGCCCTCTGACCGATTATTCAGCCTAACACATCGATGGAGGGAACAGTCTGCTGAAAAACTTGCTGAGTTGGTCGTTCAGAATAGTTTAGAGCGATGCGGAAGGCTAGTTGATGCTCTACTAAAGTCATACGAAACGGAGGCTCGTGTCTGGGTAAACAGTCAGACACCACCTGGGCGCAAGCGCAAACGAGAAATCTCAGCCGCACTGCCACAGTCTTCGCCACGCACTGCAATTGCGGATTATCGACAAACCACATCCCCACTGATGACGGCAGACAATACGCTGCAGCACGTTGACAACACCCTACATCTTCCGATCCGGGGTCACTCTGAGGTCTTAGATCACAGCCCTCGGGCGTTTCCGGCTGAGGCAAGCTATCCAGCAGCTGCGCAAGATACAGGAGACCCCTGTGATTCGTCCGCGGCCCCGCTGGAACTCATCAGCACGCCAGTCCTTGAGGCAGGCGATGAGGAGCTTGTGGGTAATGTCAGTGAAGTACCTTCCCTGGAGCCTGTATCCGTGTCCAACGCGATCGTGCTGGTGGAGGGTAACAGATCGTACCGAGATGCTCCCGTAATCATTCAGCAGCTACAAGCAACATGTCGGATCGTATCTTTCCGCGAGTACTCCGGCACTGGCCAGCGGTTCATCAACGGCACTATCGACGGTCAGGAAGGTTCGACATCAGGCGTTTACTGCCCACGACCACAGCGCCAGCTCGCCGTGCAAAATGAAGTTTCAGACACAGCCTTGTCCATTACATACGCAATGAGCGGTAATATTGACGGCCTCAAGGAACTGTTTCGTAACAGACTCGCGGGGCCGAGCGACAAGTGTCAAACCCGAGGGTTCACCTTGGCCAGAGTATGTTGCGCTATTTGCTTTCCTTCCGAGGCCTGTCGTAATGCAGACGAGTCGCTGACATCTCTTGAGTGGGCTCTCTATAGTGGAATGCACCAGTTTCCAATAGTGGAGTTCCTGTTGGATGCAGGAGCAGCGGTCGACGACGAGTGAGTGCAAGGGTGACAATTATCACATGTCGGGTGACTAAAGACTGATCTGAGCACAGAACCTATGATCACGTATGGGATTTTACTTTTCGCCAAAAATGCACCGATCAACAATGGATAGCTCTGAGTCGCATCAGACGCAGTAAGGGAAGAAATTGGATCGGTGACCAAAACTTTCCCTTGATACACTTGATTGTATTTGGTATAAGCTCAAAGCCACTCATCGAAGAGCTCGAGGAGAACCCGACTGCCGTCTACCAGACGGACGCCAAGGGGCGTACGGCGCTCGACTGGGCTACAGCACGAGCTCAATCAGGGGATATGGAACTCCTCATACAATACGGCTCGGACGTAAACACGATGGATCACAGTGGTCGCACCACAGTCCTACACGCAGTCGACAGCCACAACTATGAAGCTCTCAAAATGGTCTTGGAAGCCGGTGCGAATACCAATCCTGTCATCCCGGAGGGCCTGCATCGCAGTAGCCCGCTTACGTCGGCCAGCTTTGGCGGTTTGACGGAGATGGTCGATTTACTCCTAGAACATGGCGCCAGAATCAACACACCCAATCCGGAAGGTCGGGCGGCACTGCACACAACGATAATCCGCAACAACCACGAGATTCTGCGCAGTCTCATAAAGAAGTGCGATGGTACCTGCTTGAGGGACCTCAAGCTGCTGCCTGTAATCGCCCAACATGCGGACGAGCAAACCAGGGCGATCCTCGAGTCGTCCGGCCAGTTTACGGAAATCTAATGGCCTCGATCACGATGACATTCGAGAAACAGTATAATAGCAGAAGGAGTGCAGCAAAAACCTACGCGTCGCGTTTGATAGATTATTGATGATGGTCAGCGACAAGTGAACGTCAAGATGTACACAAATATCAATATACCACTTTTTGGAGGGCGTAGTTGAATGAACGGCCCAACCATATGCTCATCTCCGCGGGATGCTAAGCAACTTAAGCGTGCTCGGACAGACTACGAACATCTTGGATGTCCCAAATACACTATTCTACCGGCAGGAGACGAGCTCTTCCATCATGTAGGTTCTGTCTCGACTGAACGGTCGGTTGTAGAGCCGACTAAGATGGGATCAAGTGCAATTGACACCAGTTTCTGTCGTCCGAGACTCTGTTCCTCCATCATGCGCCGCGACCGGCAGGGGCGTACTGAGGCAGGTGCTTCGCTTTCTGATGTCATTGCCCTTATAACTACCGGGCAGAGTCAGTGTTACAGTACCGAAACAATGGCGCATTCAGTGTTCACGAACCTTAGAACGAACATCCCCGCTGTTGGTAAATCCAGTAAGATGTCCTGATCAAGCTCAAAGCCATTCCAACGCTTCCAAAAGCAGCGAAGGATGAGACCGTGTGCGACCTGTAGCGCCACGTGTTAGCCACTGCAACAGGGAGGGAAGCGTCGATCGGCCAACGCGCCCTCCGTGGGATAGGAGACGCACAACGAGCACATCGCCGTGCCCCTCGCCTTGAATGTGAGGCTCCTGCATCTTGCAAATTTGAGTAATGAGTCTATCTAGTCGCTCGGTGACCTGTTGCTTTGACCTGAGGGTCATCGAAAGATTAGCCGCAGCAAAGAAACCATGTCATAACGGTTCATGACCTACTCTCCGCCCTCGCATCCATCGCGCCATATATTCCAATCGTCTTCCTGATCTAGCTCTTGTTGCCGCCTTTGAGATCTAATCTTGTCGTCTGTCAAACCTTCATAGTCGCCATAGTTCCACTCCGCGATATCTTCGGTGGTGATAGTTTTCGACTCCAGATTAACATCATTTGACGACGGCCTCGGCGGCGTTGGTAGAAGCTTCTCTAGAGTGTGCTTCGCTCGAATCCTCGGGCTGACGATGACTTTCACTAGGCGAGCTGGGTCAATCAGCTTGCCTCTGCCAACGTAAATTTTCCCTGCGTGGGAAACCTCGTCTGCTCCCCACGCGGTCAGGTCAATTTCCGTATCCCCGGTGAAGCGGCCCTCTCGTGACCATTTGGTCTCTCCTAGATCCCAGATGAGTCAGGCAAAGTACTAAGCTTCAACTAGATTATCCTTACCGTGTCGTACACAAATCACGCGAGGGGTCGAATTGTTTTGATCAGGCATATTGTTGAGGGATGAAATGGGGACGCATCTGGAGATCGACGGTAAAGGGAGAGGGCCGTTGGGTAGTCTTAAAATGACTCAATCCGCTGAAACAAGAGAGATTCAGGAATACTCGGCTATACCTCGGGCCAAATGTGGCAGAAAAATGCAAGGTTCAGTCAGCTGATCGAAGGGATAAACTTGCGCCACCTTGACTTCGTGCCTTTCTACACTAAACGATCGATAACGCGGTCCCGCATGATTGGCCCGAATTTTACTTGAGGGCGTCCCGAGCGGTGTAGGCTACGACTGAAAAGTGTAGAGCGTTTGACGCGTGTCTCGACTGACTGATGTCGTTATTGTGTTACGTCATCCCGTCCTGTCAGCGGCATGGCACGCGGGTGACAAACTGAAAGGCCCGTTTTCTAAGCACTGTCAACAGAACCGCCGTTACTAAGCTGAGCCTCTTCCCCCATATCCATGGTGGCAAGCAAGTACGTGGTTGCACACGACACTCAGTGGTTGGCGATGACCTGGTTCTGCAGTGTCTTTAACATCATCCAGCGCTGTTGCATCTCACGAAGGGAACGTCCCACGGTAGTCCAGAAATGCTGATCTACGTCGCTTGGTCCAACGGAGTTGTTGACAACTCAACGGCAATATGGCGGATAATGAGAACGCCCTGTTCTGACAGACTACACTCCTCAGACTGCTCAATATTGATCAAGGCCCAGCGGGCAATGATAGCTGCCATGTTGCGCTGACTGCGTTTTGACGTAGCATTCGCCCGGCCTAGCAGCTTCGCTGAACGTAGTAACTTGCAGCGAGCACGGCAAACCTGCGCACACACCCACTATATTCTTAAGTTTCGAGGGTCAGGGAGACATATGGGTTTCTTGCTCTAGAGTTTGAGATAGAGAATCCGAGCCGTATTAGGGCACATGAGACCACCCGGAAAAGGCTGTGAGTCGCCCTCATGGGCGTGATAGCGGCGATGATGAATACAACCGTCACCGCAGTCAGTTTTCCGCTGTGCTGTGTGCTCGGCGAGGTCCGCACAAGTAGGCTCCGCCTGGTCTGGTTGATCTTGGTATCTCTTTGGGCACGAGCGCGTTCGCCATGAAAGTCGGTTTTTCCTCCAAAGATCAAGTATATTCCGCAGCCATACAATGGTTGCATTCCGAGAAAATGCGTACCTCACGAAGCAGTTGGCGATGGACGGAAGGGAAGTAATAGCTGCAGGATCATACCGCTGCGGCGTGGTCATCATTTTGGGGTCATACGAATTCTCCAGCTTCGAGCTTCGCCCAGAATGCAGTTACATGGCTTTCCAACCGATTTCCGCTAAATTCTACAGCGGCCATTCCATCAACCAGTTCCATGTCAGCATGCCAAATGCACAGGCCGACGTTAACTCGGCGAACAAAATGCACTCCATCTCTCTTGATTTGGTAGGTGTGCATCCTGATTCTGCTGCCCCTGCTTCAATACCCATTCGGTACTCATCACTGGCTCGCTTGCTGTCCGCGAGTAGTCCCCCAGCGCATGTTATAGAGGGAATGGAAAGGGTCTTTGAGGCTTTTGGGTGTTGTTCGACATCCTGTTCTGAAATGGGGCATCGAGGTCTCTCATCCCTTGCTATCTATCAACATCGAAAGGTGACACCAGGTACCCCCATCATCTCATTCGTGATTACCACTCATGATGCGCAGGGGACTAGAGATAGGATGGTAGGCACGGGGAGTCGCCTTACGAATGGAAGGGGATCTGGCGATTCAAGCCGAAATTGGAGCTCCTGGACGGTAAGCTTTGATGAGATAGGTGACCCAGGAAATTCCAGGCATCCCACCCGCCATCGCCGCCTCCATCTACTTGTTTCCGCGGCTTCTGATGTCTCACTGGCTTAGCACCGAAGCACAGCGATTGATAAACTGGACCCTTGTCCAATGCATCAGGGCTCAATGTCCTTTCACTCCCGGGCCGAAGTAGGTCCAGAGGTTTTACCCAATTTTGTTGGTTACACTGCTGGGGAGCCTGCCCAGCGCAGATAGAATTTGGCGACGAGGGGCAAGGTCCTAAAAAAGTGTAGGGGGCAACGAATGTGACTGCGGCCCTGTTGCTCCTTGTATGCTGGACGATGAACGACCAGGGCATTTCAAGCCTCCGACACATGACCACCAAGAAACGCCTAGTAGGGGGACGGGGCGAGACATGCCAGGTATGCATGGGAGGGTGTGCTCTGGGTTTGTGGTCAATGTCAGAGGAGCAAGAGATTATAGGAAGGCAAAGACACCGATTTCAGGCGAAGCATAGGTTTTTTGCAGTGCTCGCCTGACATCGTCCACGCCCACTATTCGTACACTGGCTGAGGGCTGCGGGATGCGATGCGCAGGGCTGTTGGGTGTGCACCCTAGTCAGGGCAGCAACCCCCTCCCTATCAAATGGCCCCTATTTGGATTTGCGGACCCCAGGCGTTACGATGCGATCTCGCATCCATTGTTACCAAGCTCCTCGGTTCTGAGTTTCCTTTGCTTTAGGCTCGGTGATAACGGTGGAGGCAAGATTCAACGCCCTGAGCTAGCCGAGCTGGCACTACACTCTGTGGGCTGTTACGAATTAACGATCTACGATGTAGGGTGTCTTATTAACGAGATAGACTCACCTTAGAGAGTAAAAGCGTTCACTATTAACTAGTAAACTAGGGGACAGGATGCCACATTTATGTGCGATGATAGTGGACCTCAAAGTTCTGTCGAAGAATGCGCACTAGATCTATGTGGGAAAATAACATTCTGCTCTTTAAGGACTTGATGCCTATGGCGGCTGATCTCCCCGGTTGGATCGCACCAGGAGCCCGTATGGGGGCTTGGTAGAGGGCTCGGGTCATCTGAAATGGCGCTTACGTTGCCAACATCCTGGGTCTCCCAGATGTGACAATATGGCTCTTTTGACCAGTGGCCTTGGCGAGAATTCTTACAGTACGCGGAATAGTATAAATCAGTGTCGCTAGGGAGGCAATTCATGTTCTGTTTAGAGAGAAAATCAATCAAATCCTAGGACGGATACAGCTCGAGATTCCGCAAGAAACCAGCCGGGGAGGGGAAAAAAGGGGAAGACAGTTGGCGTCACACCACACCCTTTAGGTTAATCAGATGTTAATTCTCCAAAATGACACACCTCTTTTCCTGGCCATCAATGCCGCTTCCATGTGCTACACCCCACAATGATTGGAAATCATGCGGCCGACCTGCACCACTGGCTCAGATTCTCAGAGTTGGCACTGTTCTTTGGGACATAATTGCCGTTTGGCTCTCGATGGTTGCGCTGGTGCCGTGAGTTCTTTGTTGGGACGCCGTGCCGTGCCGTCTACTCTTGACTAGCTCCACGTCCGAGGGAGAGTTTTGTGAGCGCTTGGCTACAAAGTGTGATTCGTCGTTCCGACTTAGCAATTTCTGTCACGAGGGATGGCACGCAGCAATGGGCATATGAAGTATGGTAAAAGTGGCTTGTATTAACCCTAATAGAATCGAGCAAGGAAATGTGCTACATAGGGACAAATAAGAGGAGCTTCGAGAGCTGTAGCTGTGACCGTAGAGACATCAAGCCTGTTGATTATTCCAAGCAATTTCAGAGTGGGACTCAGAACCTTTGCGATGAGATGCTCCAACCTCTTATGCAATCCCTTGTGACCTTGACCCGTCGCTTCCATGTTCAACGTCCGTATGGCATCGCCTCGTTCACACTCGCTCCTCTCCTTGTCATCTTGATCATGCGACGTCGTTCATACCATATCTGAGTGGGAAAGGCTGCTGCGAACTACGCGAGCCTAGGTCGAAGGCCTTTCACTCTCTTATTCACGCCCTTTGAGTATGAGTCCCTCTGAACTAGGAAAATTGATGATCACCAGCCATCTGTGCAGTGTCGGGCGCGTAAAACATACCTCCCGCGGCAAACTTCTGTATGTCCCCAAACATGGTGCCAAGTCGTTGACCCTGGTTCTGGTGCGCATAAGAATTAATATCGACAGTCTCGGCAATGAGATCAAATATCGCGACCTCGTCTGATGGGGATCCCGGCGTTGTCGGGAAGCTTTGTGATGGTGACTGGTGAGGAATGCCTCCTGCTGGGGGAATGGGGCGGCGTTGATGCCGGTAAATAATCACGCCTGACAGGAACTCCTTCGACTTTGCGTGTCGGCCTTCACACCCTACCGCTCCAGTCCGCCCTAACCACTCTCTAGTCGAACTGTCGATGGGCTATTCGGGCTCCTATCCGAACCTCGTTTCGTGTGCTCCGAGGAGACCCTAGTGAGATGATACTAATCTATATTGTTGAGACACGTGGCGCAATTGGAGGCCATGCTATATTAAGGCGCAACTTTGCTCAATGCTTGGAAAGCGATGCTGGTGTTTCCCGTCTGCATGTCTCAGACATGGCTCCCGAATTTCGTCGGCCTTTACCCTCCACTCTTCCAGTCCGCCGCCACCTCCACCCAGTCGAATGGTTGGAGAACCATCCCCGCTCTTCCTCGAATCTCGATTCGTGTAGTCGGAGTAGACCTTGGTGAGATACTGATCAAGGTCTTTGAAATACGTGACGTAGTTAGAGGCCATGCTAAAGTAAAGTGCGACCTTGGTCAATGCTTGGAAAGCGATACTGGTGTTCCCCGTCTGCGTGTTCCGAGACATGGTTCCCGGATTCCGTTCTTCGATCTCCTGTTTGCTGACCATGTGATTTTGAGTATCCATGTGAGGGTAGTGCCGTGCGTATATTACCACAAACGCTGCTTGCCAAATCGCGAATATGACCAGCGTCGAATGAGGAAGTTTGTCTCTGCATGTCGAGATGAGGTCGATGATTTCCCTTCCAGCTTTGAAGACCTGCTCTGCGCTTCGCTCCCAAAAGTGGTTGGGAACAGTCTCGGGATCGAACACGGGCTCGTCCAGAGGACCAATCGGCTCGGGGCAATTGATGGCGATGAAAGGGATGTATTCGCGATGCAGCATGATCTTGCAGAGAGCACCCAGCATGTGCAGTGACACATATATGCTGTTATCGTGTTTCAAAAAGTTCGATCTAGACCAGGTGAACTCGTCTGGAAGGTGATTGTAAAAGGTATCTACTTTCACTCGCAGTTGGTTGAAAGCCGACTCTTCATCCCACGGCGGAAGTGATTCCGTATAGCGGCCGCCCGCGAGACTGTACTTGGTAATGTCGCCCCAGACATCAACCAGTTGCACGAATCGGCTCAAGACGCTGTCGTCAATTGGTGATTCCATCTCATGTCCCATCTTTTGCATAAATCCGGTATAGACGATGCGGCCGAGATCGAAAGCGTGTTGGGTGCATGGCAGCTGGATTTGAAGATCGTCGGACCTGACCATGGAAACCCGATCAGATCTGCAGGATAACAGGCGGTTCAGTACCAAGCAACTGAACATAGTACGGCGCCTGATCTCTTGGTCTCTCCAACGGTCCGAGGGTACTTGTGTCGATTTACCTGGCCCAGGAGACGGTGCCCAAGTTCGCTTGCCGCTCAATGGTTTGTCTCCAACCCCCAATTTCAAGACTTGAGCCATCTGTATGGCGACGCCAATGTACATCCATGCAGCCTGGCCCCCATTTGGCTGGCTCCAATTGTAGACGCCGAGCATGAGAAAAGCCTGGACATGGACGACGGTAGCTGTTGTCAAGGCTGATTCAAGCGGTCCCAGCGCTTTTATAAGAACATTTGTAAAGTACTCCGGTGCCATTGAAAGCTCTGGCCTGGGTAGAGTACCGCGAGATTTCGGGCCCGCCGTTTTGCCATGGGTGATGTGCGCCACATCTTTGACCAAATCAGGGTGGAATCTTGCCGTAAGTGCCAGAATACCCAACAGGATCAGATCTGATTCGGTTGACGGCTTCTTGATGTCCTTGTCGCGAATGATGACCTTGAGCGTTGGGAAATGCAGGAAGGAGATTTCGGCAGCGAAGTGGAGCTTGTAGATGTCGAAGAGTTGATGCCATAGGTCTACGGTGAGATAGGGCGCTGAAAGCACTTCCTGAGCAAGCGCTGCCACAGTACGGCCGTCGGAGGAGGTTGTGTCTTTGGGCTTCTTCACTCGCTTCCGGTCGTTCCCGACTACACTCTCCTGCTTTTTTGCGGTCGGCGGTTCTGCTCGTCTCGCCGGGAGAGGCGTTGGGTCGCGATACTCACACTTGTGTCCAGCCTTGATGCATGTGCCGCAAGGCGATCCCATGTTGTCGTTATCGCATTTGATTTTGAATTTCCTGCATCTTAGACAGGCTATGCTGGACCTCATCGGCGGCCTCATGGCTCTGGAGGGTTCCTTAGCACTTGAGCCTCCCGCCGTCGGCCTGAAGTGATTGTCGTCGGGGATTGCGGAGGTTCCCGCCCATGGCAGAAAGGTTTCTTGGCGTCTCCTCTTCGCCGTGGTGTGGATAGAAGACGCCGTGGGTGCTTCATCGCAGTCCGACACAGGAGAGAGTATAGACTGGATGTGCATTTGGGGAGATGCCATGAGTGTTTAGGCTTGCAGTAGACTCTCGAAGCTTGTGAGGGACCGTGGACAACGTGACGCAGGTGGAATGAACTGTTCGTGAAGGGAGTTACTTTGCTGATAAGAGCAGAGGATGCAACTAAGAAAGTAGCGGAAGTGGGATTGCAAATCCAGTTGAGAGTGAGGGAGGTCGGGAACATGGTCGGAATCTAGCCGCCGTGCTGCCGGCCCAAACTGCATGAAGGTGCACCGGGCGCTGCCGGCTATCAATTCTGGCTCCTTCCTCTTTGCTCGTTGTGTCTCCTGGCTCGGTTGGCCTTGTCCCCTTGCTGTTTTCTCTACGAAAATATCCCTGGCATCGGCCAGAATGATAGAACATGGGACAGGCTTGTTTGTTCTAACCCTTTCGCCGCCACACATCAGGCTGCTGGTTGCCCCCTCCTTATCCCTCCCCATTATATGACACCAAATCGAACACAAACTGTCTATCCGTTAGACGCCTAGAAAACTGAAAAGCTTCCAATTTCCCGGCCTCCACACAAGAACCTTACCCCGAAGAGGCGCTTGGGTTTCGGCGTCGCAGTCTCAGCCTATGGCAGCGGTGGTCTCTACTTATCCGACCCTGGCTGAGAAGCACTATTCCGCGCCCGAGAAAAAGGCCGTCATCGGCGGTTGTCATCTAGTCGTATTCAGGTAGAAGCCTCAGCATCCCACGCGCTTCGTGGGGCGCGTCGCGAACTGGATCACACCCAAGGGGCAAACAGATTGGAAATGTCTCTTTCAAGTCCTCACAAGCTGTGCTGGCAACGGTACGTCTGCACCTCGCTTACTTTTCTTTGTCATCGGGATGACAGAAAGAAAGAACACCACCAATGCATAGATGTCTACCATAAAATCAGGCCAGCCACACTGAACGCCAAAAAAACGAGTTATCATGGGTGAGAGGCTTTGAATATCGTGACAACTTTATCGGACTATCACAAGTTTTTCCTGGGAGCCTTCTAACAAGATGAAAAGAGATCGAAAACGAGTAAATAAGGCGGCAAAAAAGTATGGATGGTCTTCGAGCGATTCGCCGGAGTTCAAAGCTGGCTGCTATCGCTCGTTGTGTTGACATCTAGTTGAACAGAAATTTTGCCTGATCCCCCACCACCGCCGCCGCCAGAAGAGGCTCTCCCTGCTGAGTCGCATTGAGCATTGCGGATCTAGGAGCGCTGCCGTTTCATGCTCGACCGAAATTGTCACTACTGCCAGAATTACCTATGAGAGATCCCCTCAAACACCTTCTATCTTGGTAATCGTCGTTGCCAGGCCTAGTCAAACTGATGACGCGCAATGACTGGCTCTAGTTATGTCTTCGTAGACATAACCAGAAAGTCGAACCATCGCTGGATGGTATCTTGACCAAGAGCCACCTTCGGCGCAGCAGCGCCTTCCTGAACATGAGCCTGAGGTGAGACAAGTGAGTAGGATTAGTCGGGTTACCTCGGCGAATGTAGTGGTTCTGGAAATGACGCTTGAGAATGTCCCTTCGCGAAAAGATATCGCGACACAGCACGCACATGTAGCTAGTGGAGGCGGCCCGTGTCTATGAACCATCTGTGTTAGCATACGAACGAGCTGCGTCGATTAGTGGATAATACCAAACGGCGCAGGAAGCGAGGCGCGTAGTGCTTCGCACGCGAAGAGGCCGTGATGCGGCAATGGCGCAGGTGACGACGTTTCTTTGCCTGCGAACACGACTTGATGGAGCCAGGGTGAGTAAATCTCTTAGTAGCCTTCTCGACCGAAGTAGCGGTGCTCCTGGCGTCACCCGCGCCAGCAAGCGTGGCATTGTCAGAGCCGGAGGAAGACTTCATGCCACGCGGAGGAGGAAGACGTTCGAGCGGAAGCAGGCGCGATAAGCTGCGGGTGAGGCGAAGCCGTCGGGGTCTGGGGCGGAGAAGAATTATGGCCTCTCTGCTGGTGATGATCGTTGGGCTGCTGAAGCAGTCGAAGCTGGCAGGGCGGGATGTTGTTTTCAGCCCAAGGACTATTGGGAGGAGTGCAAGTACCGTTGGGAGTAGTGCGAGTTTCGTCAGTCCAAGTGTACAACGGGGCTCTGGGTTCTGCACCGCGGCGTTCCTGACGGCATACGGATAGGGTGATAAGTTATGCTGTCTTGGAGCTTACTTGGAGATTCAATCTGTGAACCGCGAAGACTTGACAACTTCATGGTCAGAAAGGGGTTTTAGCCCATGTTCGCCTCGGGAATCCTAGCGGGGTCACCGCTTAGAAGGTAGTGGCTGAGGAGTTTTTGCAGGTGTCTGGCTACTCCACGTCCGCGCAGTCTGGATGATGTTCCGGCATAGTCGAATAACCAGTGGCGTGTCTCGCTCTATCACTTCTCATAATTTTGCGTTCCATGTTCACGATAATCTTTTCTAAACGAGACACCCTGTCTGCACCGAACGAGCGCTATGCTACGCTGCCGCGAAAGATTTCCGTCTCTCAGTTGGACATAGCTGTCGCAGATGGTACCTTTTTCCCGCTCCCAAGACGTTTGACTCGAAGGTCTTTCTGATGTCGACTACCAGTGATGAACCAAGTCCAAGTGGCTAACGATGAGAGAGGTGAAAAATACGACTTGGCTGGAAGCCACATTTAGATACAACCTGGTACCTGGTACGCAATTGCGAAGCCACTGGCTGGCATACACAACCACATAAGCCAGTGCAAAGCAGCCAGGTCTTGGGGGTGGAGAAAGGGCCTGAGACAGCCATGGGCGGCATGGCCTTGCTATAGTACACAAATCACCCATAGTCGTCCCGGCCTGCCCCGTCATGAACCCTGGTCTGTAGTTGACAAGGATCTGTACTTTACCGCCCTAGGTACTTAGCAGATCGCGCTCTAGCGCATCCTGGAACTTCTTCCATGTACACGCCCTAGTCCCTTGTCCCTACATCTGCAAGAGGATGAGAGGGTGTCGACTGGGATTGCGTACGAGTTCACCCAGGCGGATGTGCATCGAGGCTTCCGGTGCAGCTCTTCCATGACCCATGATATGGGTATTGGACCCGAATCGATGCCAAGCCGCATCTAGTACCGTCAAGTGGTGCCCTAGGCGCGTGGGTTCACGCTTGTCTCATATTCCGATTTATGTTGTAAAGTTCGTTACTTCCTTAACATTGCTTTTGTCACCGCTCCTCCATGTTACTTTACCTGTATCACTCCGCCTGGTAATTACGCTTCGACGATGTCTTGTCACAGTGTAGCCCGGTCTCGACTCATCCACGAACGTAACGTCGGCTTTCACCAACCTATGTGCCACGCCGAAAACTATTAATCCTCGTGGTGGTGTTGCTATTTGCCTTGCTGCGTTGCCACTTCTTCTTCTTCCTTTTTGCTAGACTAGTTGTCTCTCTTGGAAGACCATGTCAAATCTTTCGCTTCTGGATCGCGATCCAGTCAACGCAAAGATGCCGCTAGCGCATGGCACGCTTGTCCATAACGGGCGATCTCTCGACGGCCAGGAGTACCAGCGAGGTGATCCGGTGGCCATCGTCGAGAACGGCCCAGGAGAGCACCTTCCAGATGCGCTTCGCATTCTCATTTTCCGCACTAACCAGTGTATGCTCGTGCCTTTGAAGGCTGTATGCTGGATCCCGACTCACACTGAGCAACGATCCGGAACTACTTTCCTGCTTACATTGTACGGATCGAGCCTGGACTTCCGCCAATCCGCCTCGGAGCCCCCTCAGATGGGATATCGTGGCATCGCAACGCTCTATGGCTCCTGTGTCTATGTTGGACGCGAGGTCATGCTGGAGGGCAACCCATCAAGAGTCAACCTGGAACCCACCAACAGAACCTCCTTGTTTACGGCCCAGTGGGACGCTCTTTCACTCAGCGAGGATGTGCACCAACATGCACTGACTCCTTCAGCATCTTCTTACGCATCGTCTAGAAGCCCTTCTGAGTCGGGTGATGATGTTCCTCATCCTCCACTCTACCGTGTGCAAGGGCGTCGAGACTCTGCCATTGATATTCGAGACCCTGAATCTCCCATCTACGAGTCCTCAATGGGACGAATGGTGAGCACCCTACCTTTGAAAGTCATGGAGATCCAGGACTTCAGCTGACCACTCTTCAATAGTCTGCTTCACTTAAGCCGTTCCATATTACCACCACATCTTTCGCAACGAAGCCCAACACTCGCATCGTTGCTGAAGCACCGAAAGCCCGACCATACGGAAGCATCGGCGAGCAGCACATGGACGGTATGATCGCCGACGCCAAATCTGCAGGTCAACTTTGTTTCCATGCCACAGAACGAGAGCAGCAACTACGTGCTTGAACAACGTGACCAGCAAAGGCAGGGTGCCAATGCTCAAGAACCTATGTGGGCCACGCGAGGCAGCAATGCAGATAATGGCAATACTTGGGATACCTTGCAGATGCCGCCACAGCACGTTCCGGAAATGCGGCAACCCCAGTTGCCAATGCCCCAGCGACAACAGGCGCCGACTTCGAGGGCAGTCAGCCATGCCGACTACTACGAGCAGTATCGCCTTGCGGAGGAGCAAGGCAGCTCTCGCAGCCACAACGGACCTGTAGGCCATCGTCCTCAGCAGCTGGAAGCTGTTCACATGCAAAATGACCCTCGCGCTGGCTACTTGCCTTCTCGCATTCCTTCTTTAAACGACTCTCAGTCCATTGAAGATGCTCAAATGCATCCAAGGGGCCTGGATCAGTCGAACAGACTCCCGATGCCCGGGCCCTCTTTCCCTATGCCTGAAGAGTTCTACGATATTCAGAGCAACCGCCCCACATTCCGGCCATCAAGGCCCCCCCCTTCAAGCTCCTATAGCCAGGTACAGGAAGACAGCTTACCTTCGACTTTTCAACGTCAACAGCCAAGACGTAGCCCGCGTCCTGACGATTCTCACCCTTCGCGTACACGCAGAACGCCAATCATGGCTTGCCGAGCACCAGCTCAACCCGTTCATACGTTTACGCCGAGTGTAATTATCGATTCCTTCCGACAGAGCACACAAGCTCACATCAGCTCCTTGGAGAGCCATTGTGAGCAACTACAGCAGAGCCAGGCCAGCGTTGACCAAGTTTATCAAGCAAATGAGTCGCTTCAAGCTGCTCGACGAAACAACGAGGAGTCTTTGCAGCTTCTCCGCCTCCTTCAACCAAACACTGGTATCCCATTGAAAGGAACAGAGAAGCGGCTCCAGTCAATCGTTGATCAGATTATCGATGCAATTAAAAAGTTGCTTCCCGACGGCATCAATGGTTCCGACATGAACATCGAACAGTTAAGCCAAAACGTACAAAGCCTCAAAGAGTTCATCGAGTACGTTGAGGGAGTTTACCCCGAAGTGATCAGGCGCGCGCAGGACCCCGCGGCAGCATCTACTAACAAGAGCCAGAGTGTCCCAGTTACGACTACGAACCAAGTCCCCTCGGCTCCCGCATCCGTTTCTTCTCACACAGCGGATGAGTCTGACTCCCGTCGCTGGGTAGATGGCCAGGCTGCACCTCCGTCGGACCGTTCCGCAGCAACGGCCTTGAACCGAGACCGCTCCCGCATACTCCAGGACATGACCGCTGCCTGTAGTCGTCGTCCTGAGCCGCGCCTCAACACTGCTCCAGAGTACTATGCTCCCAACAGCTACCGCCGGCCGTCTTCCCGGACTCATTCGCCGCTGGACACACCTTTTGCGCCTGCCGAACCTCCAGACGCGGCTGGCCACGGCTTCTTTCAACGGCGTCCTCCGACACAGATCCAGCAGACGATGCCCATCACCGATTTTGCGGCCCTAATGCAGGATCAAACCACGCATGCTTACCCGTCTCCTACATCGGTCGAGATGATGCGGCCGATGCAGCCCGTGTCGAGCCCCCTACCTCAGCCTTACACGATGCAACAAGAGAGCAACTTCTACCTGCGATCACCGCCACCAAACTGCTTGTACCCAGCGACTGGAGCCGAGGTGGCCCAGGCTGCCTACTCCCCGCGGTCGTCAGTGGGTTACCAGCCGGCCCCGGGCCCAGCGGAGAGCAACTACTACCAGGACAAGCGGTCTGGTCTTTCGGACTGGCGAACGGTCCGCCAGGAGCGTCCTGCTCCCTACTCCCTTAACTATAGGGATCAAAGGCGACGAAGAGGAAGCCAGTGATGAGCACCTCCGACTCCACACAGAATATTTCCCATACGTATACAGATTGGTTCCTGATTGGCTGTCGTTGATTTCGCTACTCGACTGTACTGAGAGTTCCCTTTTTTTCTGCATTTGCTATCCTGGTATCATGGTCTGCCCGGATGGGGGTTAGTACGAAGGCGTCAGGAAGGGTCCAAGCAACAAAGGAGCAGCTCAGATATAAATACAGCGCAGGGAGTACATGTCGAGTGAGGGCAGATTTCAGTAATTCATCTCTTTGAGCCTAACAGCAGTTGGCCTCCGTGAGCTTCTTCCCTGTGTCGTACGCCTATTAACACCTGGTTCTAGCTAACGAGCATCTACTATCATGCATCTGTTTTTGGCGAGACGTTCTCGGAGCGAATTGGCTGCTGGAAAATACGGAGATCAAGAAGAAACATCTCAAATAATGCAGCCATTTTGATTTCTAGCTGTTAAACATATTTCAAAAGTAGTGCGAGGCTTTTGGGTTGTTTCTGCGGGAATCGGAGAGGGGTTTAGAGGCAGAGGTGGGTGACGGGGACGCTGGATACGAGAGAAAATGTTCACGTTGAGGAACGGAATCCCTTGATATAGGTTCACTCGGGGTTGGCCATGTCAATAGCTTACGATATTTAGAAAATGAAAGATAGAAGCCTGAACCGACATTCTGACTGTTATACAATGATATAATGTACTAATGGCCAACACGACGTGATCGAGTGATGGAGATAATAGTGGCAAGAGCACAACCCGACCGCCGACAGCCTCAGGCTCGGAAGGGCCAAGACAGGCTATCCGACTCTCACATGCACACTCACATGCACCACAGCCGGACCGACCGGTGGACAGCTTGATTGCCCTTCCTTACTTGTTATCTTTATGGTCTAGCCAGCTTGGCGTGGTCCCTTGCCCTTCAATTACAGAGAGTCTTGGTACTGGCACGATCGGTGGAGCCTTGACTCAGGATGCCTGCTCCAACCCTTCTGTCGTCGTCGTCCAAGGTACTGTATTATCTGTTCTTCCCTTCCATGTTCACTGTACGATCCCCGACATGTAAACGCAATCATGAGCACCTGTTCCTTCTCATGAAAGAAGTACAAGAACCATGAAGGCCTGCTTGGGCTTCGGCGTCGCAGCTCTAGTCTGAGCTGGCGCCGTCCCCCCTCAGCGAGCGGGCGGATCATGCCCGAGGAACAATTTCACGGTCGTCGACAGGTCTGAGTGAGTGATAAGATTTGTGTCGAACCCTTTAAGACGATGCTGTCATCCTATTCAACCCGTTGGGTCAATGATAGAACCATATGCATCAACATGTAATTTCCGTACAGATTCGTCTTGCCTGGTTGATGTGTTAAATTCCATGAAGCCCAGCGGATCTCCGGGATCTACCTTCTTCCGTGCGTCCTCCACCACCTCGCCAGATGTACATCTCAAAGCTGTCTAAACGGGGTTGATGTTACGGGCTAGACCCGATTAGTGGATCCGGGTCTCAGCCCGGATACTGCCACAGTTTACCGCGCTGCCTCCGCGGAACCCCCGCTTCAAAAACCTCTACTCCTTAGCTTAGATTCTATATACTGAAATCACCCCTACGTGGTCTCCCGAGGGCTGGGCACTTAACAGTTGAGCACTGAACTAGACTTGCGGAGTCAGGGAGGATGTGCAGATGCTTCGGTGCAGTGGTGTGAAGAGAACTTACCAGTGGAGGTGTCGAGCTGATGAAGCCGACGAGTTTGCGTCGTCATAGCTTCTGAAGTCTCTCTCTCACGATGCTGCAGCTTGTTCTGTGATATCGTTATAAAATGGAGCAGAAATAGAGCCTGAGCCTCCTCTATGTCCCGCTGAACGGGACTCGAGGTGTCTGCGCGAGCGCTACTACTCTGCTGTTTGGGGACCAAGTCCGCCCGAGACAAAAGATCACGAGCCAGTGCGGATTTAAGGAAAGATACCACATCGCTCAAGTGATCCGGGGAACAACTGTAGTAGCAAGCACCGACGCAGCACATGGCTACCAACAAGCCAGGATACGCATCCATGATACGGAACTCGGATGTATGGCGAACCGGCAAATCGACATGAACACGAGTGTAAATGCCCAATAATTCGCCCACATTTTCGGCGGAGTGTAGTCTAAGGCCGGCACGGTCGATGATCGGAGAATCTGAGGGATAGACAAAGCTGCAGATTTGGTTGGAAAGGTATGTATAGGCACTTTGGAACAATGGCGACACATTCCATGTCGAAAAGAAAAGGGAATCGCGGTGACCAGGGGGGCTAGTAGGTCCTTGTGGACTTTGGACGCCAGTGGTGATGACTGGGCTGGTCGCGATCAGCCTCTGTGCTGGATGATGGAGGGGAAATTGAGCATGATCTCCGTAGGCGCGTTGCACACCAGGCTGCCGGGGACTGTCATTGTCAGACTTCATCAGGCTACTGGTGCGCGACAGCTGACTGATAATCTGTAAGTTTCTCATTTCGTCCGGCACGGTTGTCACATCAATTGGCTGAACCCTGGTATCCGCAGTCATATCACTGAGACCATTGGGGTGGTTCGGACCGCCATTCGACTTGACACGAGCCTCAGAATGTGACAAGTGACTAGCACCAGCCAGGTTACCTCGGCGAATGGAGCACTTCTGGAAGTGACGCTTGAGAATGTCACTTCGCGAGAAAGTGTCACGACACAGCACACACATGTAGGGGCGGTCGCCCGTGTCTATTCGTATTCCGTGTCAGCAAAGGGAATAAGCTGCGTGCGTTAGTAATGGGTTGTAACTTACGGCGTAGAAGGTGACGCTTCAAGTGCTTGGCGTGCAAGTAGGTCTTGGTGCAGTGAGGGCAAGGGAACTTGCCATCGGCATCCTTGACCGGGATGACAGTGCTCCTGGTGTTGCCGGCGCCAGCGGGGGTAGTGATAGGGCGGCCAAGAGCGCTGGGGAGAATGCCACGGCAACCCTGATAGCCGACAACGTGTAGAGGCCGGTTAGCCTCACCTATGTCACCGGGCATGACAGCCCCAGGGCCGTAGGGAGAATTCACCCCAGACTGGAGCCTAACACCACCAGCGGGTATGGGGTGCAAGTGAGAGAAAACACGTCCAGACGCCGGGTCAAGCGCGATGGGCTGAGAATGAGAAGAAGCCATCGTGATCTGGAGCTGCATAGATTGAGTGCCATACGCCTGGGGCGGGGGAGCGTACTGGTTCATCTGGTGGTCAGAACCGCGAGGCTGCTGTTGTTGCACACTGTTCTGGGAGCTCGGGGTGTTGGGAGGAGTTGGTGCTTCGGAAGGGTTGCTTTCGTACATTCGATACGAGGCCGCGGATGTCTGTGACTGCGATGGCGTCAAAGTCTGGTGAGACGGCGAGAAGGCAGTAAGCTGGAAATGAAGAGGCGTCGCGGCCGAGATTGGTGGGTAGTAGTCAGGACGGATTCTAACGCCTGTTTAAAGTTTGTCGAGGGTCTCGTAATAGTCCCTGGGCAATGACGGGCAAGTCGATGATCCAGGCCAAAATGTTGCTGAGGACGAAAAGAAGTGCAATGATGTAAACTTGAGGATGAGGGAACCAGGCTCGGATGAACCGCATTAAATGGGACCATGAGCGTCGATGTTCCCTTTTTCATCTTTTTCCCCCGTTTCTCTTGAAGCTGAAAAAAAAAAGCAAGCCCTGAAAATCGAAAACTGAAATCTGAGATCTGAATTCTGTCAGGTATCTGACGCATCATAGAGAGAGAAAGAAAGGAGTGTGCGTGGGAGAAAGGGGGAATGTCGTCTTTGCCGGGATGGTGTCGAGGATGTGCCTTGTGGGACCTGTTAGTCCATGGCCTTCGGCGCTCGCCCACGAGGTAGAGGAAGCAAGAGGAGAAGAAATGCAAGGCATCGTGCCTTACGAGAGGAGTGATTCGACGGCGATCTAGTCAGAACAGCGCAGCAATACAGCAAGCCTGTGTCATTCGAGTCTGTCCACTCCGTATCCCTGATCAAACCCCATGCAGAAGCGGAATGAGGCGGTCGGAGCCGCTGCGGGCAGCACAGCTTGGCAAGAGGAAGATGCGAGAGCGATAGGCCACCGGAAGAGATGAGTGAAGTGCTCCATTGCCGACGAAAAGCGCAGATGCTCTCATTAGAGTCCTGTTTGATGAAGTCTATCGCGGGCCCCTCTCACTGCTCGGCGGATGGCAGGAAACGGCGTACTGAAGCAGGGGTGGACGAGTACCCGACCATAACCACCAGCCACCCTGGTTCGTCACCATACGACGCTAGCGTATGTGGCATACCCACCACGACCATGATGAGATGGGTCTGGGATGTGTCGCGGCATCTCTGAGGATTTGGGGGGTGGACGCGGATGGTGGTGGTGGCGTGTGCACACTTCCTTATCAGCCTGTTCGTAGGGGTTTTGAGGACACGGACACGGCGGGGTTGGTCTACCACTCCGCTTATCCACCAGAAGCGCGAATTACCTTTCAAATAGCGCTAGTCACTTGCGCACGGATCATAGGCCATTTCGACGACATCCCAACGTTGGCGAGCGGAGTCCTCTGCCAAGTTGGCGGTCTGCTCGGTTGTGACGATCGGCAAGACTCGAATGGTCCTGCAGGGGCCGCTGCTCCAAACCGGGGAGAAGCTGGCATTGCCTTGGAATGAGCTCACGCTGTCCACAGATGCAAATATGCGCCTTTACGTGCGAAGCGTTCAACTGCAATGATCAAGCACCCCGTACATGGATCAAGCTAGATTTCGAAGTCAAACGGAATAAGCTGCTAGGAGTGTAAATGACCGCGCCACTACTTCCATGCCCGGCGGCCCCCTTTTGCAAAAATCTCTGCCTTCTCCGAACCCTTGCTGGGCTCTATTCAGGATCATTGATACGATGGACAAATACGTGAGCGCAATTCAGGTACATTCTTCCACAGCCCCCTCTAGACCCAGACTCGGGACTGACTTTACTGATGTGTTCCCAGATCGAGCTGGCTACTCGGGCCGCCTGCAGGGTCGTTCTCGGAAGCGGGATGCTGTCGCTGGCGATGCACCTGGCGGCTCGATATCCATCGTACTTGCGATTGATCCTTACGTTTGCTCTCATCAGCGGCGCGCTGGTCTCATGCCTACTATCATCGAGACCATATCGGTTCTCAAGACTCATCCACTTCTGCCTCATGCTCTGTATTTAGTACACAGTGTGTCTATTGGCAACAGTTCTTGCCAGCGTTTCAAGCATGCCCTTGGTATGTGCCCAGTAGTCCTCCTTGAACGCGCGCTGAAAAATACTAGGCCGCGCTTTCTGGTGCCGAGACCCTCTCATGGGTAATTCTCGAAACCTACTTATGCCAACGCGACCACATGAGTTGATGAACCTTTCAAGTCTGTTGCGGCGTCTCGAAGGCCATACGGGCTTTGGTTTCGAGATCCGAATTCCAACTCGTATCCTCGTCGCCAAAAAGCACGGCATTGGAGTAGCACTAGTATGCCGACAGACCTATGGACATGCTAGTCCAAGCATATGTGAGGAGTAAGATCCTTGGAAGCTTCTATGCCACTCTGGGCTGCTTTGCTGTCTCTGAGTGGCAGCCTATCCATGCGTATATGCTGTGGATAGGCCTTCTGTGGTCGCTGATACACGTCACGAAGCCAGGCAGTGAGTAAAGCAATTTTTTGACGACTTGACTTTTCCTCGCCATTCCAACGGCCTAATACAATACCAATTTAATGATACACAAATGTCCACCAGCTGAGAATAATCTCACTTGCTCATCAGCAAGATCACCCCTGGCCTCCTTCAAGTTGAGCGGGACGGGCTCGACTCGATTACATCGTAGAAGTGATTGCTAGGATCGAAAAGTCCAGAAGGGTGCTTCGCTTCGGCAATAGATCGTAGTTCGAGAGGGACGCCCATGTAGTCGCCGTGCTTGTCGTCCGTGCCGAGCTTCTTCCGAGTAAATTCTTCTTCTTTGTCATACCAGGCGACGGAAGTCGTCGTCACACCCTCACATAAGGCTGCGATTCATTGGATGACAGTCTTGAATACGGATCACTGCCCCAACGGAATGGGGGATCGAATGTATTCCGCGATCCCAAGTTCGGCGTGCAGCCTTTGCCTCCGGTAGCAAACTCAAAAATGTCTTCGAACATGGTGCCCAACCGCCGGCCCTGTTGATATCGTACATACACGTCGGCCTTCAATTCCTTTGCGTTCATGCTAGCCATTCCCATTTCGTTTTGCGATGAGCCGAGCGTTGGTGGAAGACCATGAGTCGAGGAGTCATGGGAGCCGGCTTGCTGGTAGATTGGCCGGGGATCCCTCCGCCCGCCCCAATCGCCGCCACGCCCATCTCGTCGAATGATCAAAGGATCATCTCTGCTCTGCCTAGATCCTCCATCTCTGCAGTCAGAGTTGATTTCAGTGAGACACTGATCCATGCTTTTCAGGTATATGACATAATCGGACGCCAGGCTGAAGTAAGGTGCAGCCTTTGTCAACGCCTGGTAAGTAATGGTTGTCGTCAGCCAGTTGTTAGACATCGATCTCGATTTTCGCTCTCCGACTTCATGCTCACTGCACATGTGATTCTGAGTATCCATGTGAGGGTAGTGCCGTGCGTATATTCCCACAAACGCTGCTTGCCAAACTGCGAACATGACCAGCGACGGATGAGGAAGTTTGTCCCGACATAGCGAGATAAGGTCGATTATTTCCCTACCAGCCTTGAAGATCTGCTCTGCGCTTCGCTTCCAATGGCCATCGGGAGCAGCGCCGGGGTCAAATGCGAGCTCCGCCATAGGGCCCATCGGCCTGGCGCAGTTGATGGCAATCAAAGGGATATATTCGCGATGCAGCACGATCCTGCAGAGAGCAGCCAGCATATGAAATGACACGTATATGCTGTTAGAGTGTCTCCAGAAATTCGAAGTGGACCAGGTGAAGCATTCCGGAAGTCGTGTGTAGAAGGCGTCTATTTCTTTACGGAGCTGGTAGAAGGTCGACTTTTGGTCCCATGGCGGCATCCCTTCTTCCTTTTTAGTATCGCGTCCGCCCAAAAGGTTGTACTTAGAGATGTCGCCCCAGATTTCGATCAGGTCCACGAATCGGCCGAGAACGCTATCTTCAAATACTTTCTCGGCTCCTTGACCCACAGGCCGCGGTAATCGAGTATAAATGAAGCCACCGAAGTTGAAGGCTTGGCAGCTGCTTTGGAAGGTCATGAGCTTAAACCGCGGGTACTCGGCCAGTTGCGCAGCATAAAAGCCGACAGAGAATCAAGCAACTGAACATGGTGCGGCGCCTCACCTCCTGATCTTGCCAACAACTCGAGGGCGCTTGAGCAGATCCGAGTTTCATGGTTTGAGCCATCCGCGTGGCGAGGTCAACGTACATCCATGCAGCCAGGCCGCCATTCGGCTGACTCCATTTATACAAGCCAAGCATGAGAAAAGCTTGAACTCTAACGACAGTAGCTGATGTCAGAGCTGATTCGAGTTCTCCCAGTGCCTTTGTCAGAGCGTTTGCGAAGTACTCTGAGGCCATCGACGGCTCCGAACTGGGTAGAACACCACGAGATCTTGGGCCCGCGATCTTGTGGTGTGTGATGTGTGCGACATGTTCGACCAAGCCGGGATGAAATCTTGCAGTGAGAGTCAGAATGCCCAGCAGAATCAGATTTGATTCGGTTAACGGATTCTTGCTGTCTTTGTCGTGAATGATGCCCTTGAGAGTTGGGAGATGCAAAAACGGGAGTTCGGTAGCGAAGTGTAGCTTATGTATGTCGAAGAGTTGATGCCACAAGTCGACGGTAAGATAGGGTGCCGAAAGGACTTCCTGAGCAAGTGCCGCAGCAGTCCTTTCATCAGAGGACGTTGCATTTTCGAGCTTCTTCACTCGCTTCCGATCATGCCCGACCTCCCTTACCTGCCTCGGCGCAGTCGGCGGCTTTGATTGTTTCGCCGTAAGAGGCGTTGGATCGGGAAACTCGCACTTATGTCCTGCCTTGATGCATGTGTCGCAAGGTGATCCAGTGTTGTCGTTGTCGCATTTGATTTTGGATTTCCTACATCTCAAACAAGCTATGCCAGATCTCATCGGCGGCTGCATAGCTCTAGAGGGTCTTTTGGCACTTGAGCCTCCCGCCGAGATCGACTTCAAGTCATCGCCGTCGGGCACGAGGTAACTCTGAGGCATGGCTCCTCCCAGAGCTTGCTTGCCTGCCGACTTTGATACGGCGAGAATTGTGGAGGCATCCTCCTGTGAGGCAAAGGGTTTGTAACATCTTCCCTCTGACTTGGACTGAGTAGGGAGCGCTTTGGGTGCGTCATCGGAGTCCGGAGCAGGAGAGAGCAAAGACTGAATGCGAAGTTGGGAAGAAATTGTGACGGTTCGGGTCTGTTATGGACCCGTGGAGCCAGCAAGGGGAGCAGGCAACTGGGCGCATGAATGATAGAGAGGTTAAGATACGTAGAGCTGGAGGGTGATGGCCACTATCTGTCGAGGCAAAGCTCAAAGTTCTTCAGATCGCACAGTCGAGTAGACACTGGCTGTTGACAGATCTCAACCGACAGGTGTTAGCTTCGGGTGATACACGATGAGTTTCTGAGATTAGAATTGCCAGATAGCCAAAGGACCTATAGCTGAACAAACGACTTCTTTCTGCTTTCTGGAGATGAAGAGCACAAGCTCTAGCGATAGTAGTTGGCGCCGAGAAGCCGAGGTTGGTCAATAACGTTGCGATGAAGAGAGTTGATCTGCTGAAATAGCTAACGGCAAAACGAGAAAACCAGTAATGTGGGATTGGAGAGTCAAAAGAGGTGGAGTGTGGCTATCTTAAACAATAGCAATTATTCTAATGCTCACGTGCCCGCGACACAGGCTGGGGAGGGTGGGAACGTGGTTTGTTTTTAGCCACTGTACCGTCGGCCCCCGGTTTGAGTGTATGCCCGTTTTTAATGGCTATCGCTGCTTGCTCACCCTTCTTTGCCCGTTCTCCCTCGTTTTTAGCCGGTCTCTTCCACTTCTGACCTACTGACAACCCCCGGCATCGGCTTTTTTTTTTTCAAAAAAAAAAAAAAAAAAAAAGGAGCCCGGAATTAGGATGTCCTTATGACTTTCCCGACGCCTTCGTCCAGGGTGCTGGATAATTTATCTCCCCCTTTCATATTCATCCTACGATCTCCGACATAAACACGTAATCACGAACATCTGTTCTCGCTACAGTAGACCATATAAGAACCTTGAAGTCCCGCTCAGGCTTTGCTCTCGCGGTTTCGGTCCTTGACAGATCTAGGTGACTGCGGAGGTGGGTGTCTACGAGGAGCCTCAAGTTGTTTTTGATGGCAGTCTCACGCAGTAATACCATCTCCACACCCAGAATGCATTTAGGGAGTAACCATCGTCCAATCGGCTTTGATGCTAGAGGTCATCGTGATACTTCTCTGCAATAATAGATGACAGTTGATGAGGATGGCCGCGACGAAAGAAAACAGAAAAAGGCATGGAAAATGAGCTGAAGGGCAAATGCCTACCAAATACAAGCAGTCGACTTCCCTTTTCAAAGTCTACCGCCACCTCTCCTTGTGCCTATGTTCATGTGTACCAAAGGTTTCCTCAAAGACTTCACGGTCGCCGGAAGTGTCTGGACGACATGGAGTGTTAAATTCGATACGTTAATACTATCCTTGTTGATCTGTCCGAACGATCACTTTCC